AATTAATTCATATTTTATCAATAATATATTTTTTATAATGATTTTCAAACTAGATAATTTTTTTTGGTTTTATTTTATACCCAATCCATATTTTATTAAAAACATCAAGTTTAATTAACATTTAATAAAAAATGAATTTTTTAATTAAATTTCATTTTCTATTTTTATAATTATATTTATTTTTATAAAAAATATTTTATATTAAATTATAAATACACACATATTTATAAATTTTCAAGTATTTGAATTAAAATATCTCTGCATTAAAACAAATTACCATGCTATTATTTTATAAAATTATTTATATTTTTTTTTTTTTATTAATAATAAATAATTCTATATAATTATTGTCTTTTTCATCAAAGAAAATTTTTATTTGTTGTTTTAGATGGGATAATTATAATAAAAGTAAAAAAATAAAAAATATAAATATTTATTTTACTATAATCATCATTAAATCCAATAATTTTTATCTATATTAATTAATAAAGAGTTTATAATTTTATAAATTATCTATATAAAATTATTTTTAAATAAATATTGTTAGTAATTAAAAATATATATATATAAAATTTTATATAATGCTTAAATTATTTTATTTTATTTTTTAATATTTGATATTTTTTTTATTCATAAAATAATTATTTAATAGTTCATCTAATGATTTTTTTTTATGCAAATATAATGTAATTTTATTTAAATAAAAAATCTAGAAAAATATTTTTTTCTTCTTATGATTTAATACATAAAAATTTACATAAATATAACATAAAATAGTAAAAATTTTCTTAATTTATACATCCTTTAACTATTTACTATACCAAAAATTAGTTTATGGTTATTGCGCATAACAAAGAATAATTATACATTTTTAGATTTTATTTCTTTTTAAATTCTAATTATAAACCTTATTTCTCATACACATAATTATTTTTAAATTTATATTAAAGCTTGATTCATCATCTATAAAAAGATTGTATAATTAAGAAGAACTGAATATTTTTATTAATTTAATACATACTTATTTACATTAATTAATTTTATTCTATTGTAAAAATATATATTTATATATGTATTATTTTTATTTTAATATTTATTTATTTTTATATATATTAAAACATTAAGAAATAAATTATATTATTTTATTTTTTCTTTTTTATTTATTTTATAAATAATAATATAAAATAATTTTTATTTATATATATTATTTTACAATAACTTTTATATGATATATATATTATTTAAATCTGCATTTTAATTTTACATAAAATCGTAATATTTATTTCTAATTTATTAATTAAACATTTAAAATTTTATTTTAATATATGCATATTTTATTTAAATAACAAAAATTATATTTTTATTTTCAATTTCTAGTTAAACTTATTTATTTTTAATTAAAATAAATATGCTTGCAATTAATGATTTTTTTTTATATTTATAGGCTATTATAACGATTTTATTATTTAATTTATTATATTCTTTATATAAATCATTTTATTAATAAAATATAAAATAATTTAAACTATTGATTTTCGTTAAATTTTTATCTAATTTAAAATTCAATATATTTTCTAAATTTATACAATATTATATATATGAATTTATTAATACCTGAAAAAGTTTGCTAAATACTTTATTTTTTTTAAAAAAAACCCTTGGTTTAAAATATAAAAAAAAAAAAAAAAATGATAAAAATTCTTATGTACTTATAATAATATATAAATGTCAAAATACTATTTTTTATATTAAAAAATATAAGTAGTTTTAAGAACTGCTAATCCTGATAATGTTTTTTTTTATATATAAAAAACAGATTTTTAAAATTAGATGAAGAATTAAATGTTATATATACAAAAAAACTTAAGAAAAATAATTTCAAGTAAAAATGAGGAGGTATAAGCTTAAAATATAAAAAATAAAATAAAAAAACAATGTTAAAAAAATGAATTTAAACTAAAAAAGATATAAATATGAAAATAATTTAATTAAGAAGAAAATTAATTTGTTAATTAAGATTACATAGAGGAAAAATAATTAGATGAAATTAAAAAACATATAAAAAAAAAATCTTTTATTCCCTGAAATATTAAAATAAATTAATCAAAATTTTTTTTATTTTAATAATTAAATTATTAAAAAAAATATATATAAAATAATATTAAATTATTGGATATTTGAAAGTAATTATTAGGTTAATTGGTACATTTTTTATTAGATATTTTAATCAACTTAGTTAAAAAATTAATAATATATTAAAAAATAAATATTTATATTAAATAATTCAAAGAAATAAATTATTAAAAAAATTATAATAACATTAAATAAATATTTATAAATAATTAATTAATATAAATTAAAATATATTTATAATATCTATTGTAATATAATTTTATTTTTAATCCCCTAAAATAATAAATTAAGTATAAATAATATTTTGGAAATAAGTTATAGTAAAAGATTTGTAAAAAATAATAAAAATTAAATTGAATTTTACCTTTAAAATAATAAATTCATTATATTTAAAATTTTATAAAAATATATTTATTTAATAATATAATAATATATCAATTATTATTATTAATATTTTATTATTTTTTTTATCATTTTTATAAAGCATAATATTAATAATTGTAAATATTATTTAATGATTAAATTTTTTTACAAACATTCTTTATTAATTTATTAATAATTTTAACAAGTGTTTTATGTTGATTATATTAAAATATATTAAATAAATTTAATAATTTATTTTTACTCTTTATTCAAATGCTATAAATAATTTAAATTTAAAATTCTTTTCCTTAAATTTTTTTGTCTTGAAATTTTTTGAAGATTACATTTATATCAAAATCTAATATTCATAATCGATTTATAAGCCATTTTATTTTTACATAAAATTAAATTGCTTTTAATATTTCTTAAAGTAATTAAATTGTAACTCATATTTTTTATTGTTATTTTTGTTTATATATTTTTTATTTTTTTTCAGTAAATTTTTTCTAAATAATTTTTATCAAACTTCATAAATTTTTATTATTATTATATTTTAAAAACTACTATTTCTTTATAATTTCTACATTATTATTAATCAATAAATAAGACACTTACTTTTTCTTAATACATTTTGATTGATTAAATTGAATTTTAACAATTTTTATATTGCATTATATTATTGATTTTTATAATAAAAATACTATTTAAATAATTAATAATTTCTTTTTATTTTATTTACTAAATTCATAAATTAAATTATTGAAAATTTAGAATAGAATATTATTTATAAATATAAAATTAATAATAAATATAAAATATTTATAAAATAAATATATTTTTTAAAAATATATCTTTGTTTTATTAATTATTAAAATTAAAATCAATTAAACTTTTATATTTAAAAATTTATATTAATTAAGTTTTAAATAAATATTAATTATTATTAAAAATTTTTTTTAGTTATTTATATGTTATATTTATTAATTAAACTTTAATATTTTATTAAAAATCAAAAATTACATTTATTTATATATTATTTAAAGAAAGTTGAAATTTTTATTTATTAAAAAAAAAAATATATATAAAGGTTTTTATTATATTAATGATGTTTTTTTATTTAGAAAATTTACTAAAATTTCAAAAACAATTCAAAAGGATATCTAAAAAATTTGGTTTTTATTTTTAAAATTTAAGTTTTCTAAATATTTATTTATAACAAATAAAGAAATCAATATTACAAATTAAGCATTAATATATATAAAAAAATATTTTTAAATAACTTGTAAATACATTTAAAATTATTATACTCATAAGATAAATAAAAAATATAATTTTATTTAAATAATTAATAATTGCATATAAAAATAAATAGTTTTTATTTATTGTTTAAAAAAAGAAAAAATTTAATAATCTTTTTAAAACTTTTTTAAAAATTTATACATAAAATAGCAAGTACTTTCAATAAATAAGAAAAATACACTTGATTATTTTAATGAAAAATTAGAATAATAAATAAATGAAAATAAAAAAGATAATTTTTTTGATTACAATCATACAGGCGCTTCTTAAAGACAAAGCATTTTCAAATAAGAATAATATTATTGTCAAAAAACAGAAGGAAAATAAAGCATAAGTATGATTTCTTTATAAGAGTCATATAATATGAAAAATTAAATTGAAAAAACACACAATAAATATTTGGATTTAACTAATATTTAATATTTAACATAAATTGCGAATAATAAAAATAATTTAAAGAATCGGATGATTTAGACATAGTAAATAAACAATTTAAATTAATTCGATTTAAAAATTTCTAATTCACAAGACTATAAAAATAGGACAATAAATTAATCTAAATAATACAATTTATGGTTTAGAAGTATAAAAATTAAAAAGTTTATAGAAAACATGAAAGGGTTTTGTAAAGGATATTAATTTAAAATTTTAAATTAAAAAAAATTTGAAATTATTAATGACAAAGCTTCTAATTTTAGAGTTATAAAGAAATTAAATAATAAAGTAAATAAATAAATAAATAAATAAATAAATAAATAAATAAATAAATATATAGTATATATATATATATATATATTATATAATCTAATTTCTATTTTTTAAAAGAAAAAAGATTTAAATTTAAAATGTAATTTATCAAAAACAATAAACATATTTTTTGAGAATTTAATTGAAAAAAATTTCTTAGATATAATATTACCAGTATTTTTTTTAAAAAATATATCTAAATTATTATAAAAAGGGTTCTAAATTAAATTATATATGGAATGCAATTATATTCTTTGTTATATTAATTTCTATGTTTACTACAACTTTAAGACATTCGTTTAATGTATTAGAAGAAAATATATTTATAACACATATTTTTTCAATAATTTATATAATGGATATTTTCATAGAATAAAATAAAGTAATATATATTTATATAAATAATATATATATATATATATATATTTATATTTATTTATTTATTATATATATAATAGAGTTATTATGATAATAATGGAATTTTAATAACTTAAAAACTTTAAATAATAAAATAATATATAAAAAATGAATTTTTGTTTGATATAATTGAATTATGTTTATTTATAATTTCATATTAAATAAATAGTGTATCTTATTTAAGTTATTTTATAATTTCTAAAAAGCGCAAAATTAACAAAATAATCACAAGCTACGAAAAAATATTTTAACTAAGGGAAAGAGGACTAGCATATAGTTAATTCTTATAATTATTCATTAATATAATTTTAGTTTCACATTATAGTGCATGCATAGTAAAATAAATAAATAAAAATAAAAATATTTAATAAAATATAAGTTTCATTCTATAGCTTAGATTGAATAAGAGAATAAATATATAGATACATGGCTTACATAAAGCCATAATTAAAATACAAGCTGGATATAAAGATATATAACATGTTTTTATTGGAGTGTAGTTACAATGGTGACTATTGGATATGGTGATATTGTAGCATATACAGAAGGTATTTTATATTTTATATAAATTAAATTTATATTTTTTTTAAGAATAAATAATATAATAGTGGAAAAAGTATTCACCATAATAATGATCTTTATAAGTTGTAGTGTTTTTGCTTATTCTATAAATTTAATAGGTGAATAAGTAAAAGAATTAAATAAAGAAGAAGTTATTTTAAAAGGAAAGATCAGTCGTTTGAATAAATATATGTATAGTAGAGGATTAAATCTTTAAATTTAAGAAAAAGTAAGAAGATACTGCGAGTATGTTTTAAGGGAAGAAACTATGAGTGATGATTAAGAAGCTATTTAATTAATAAACAGTCTTTCTAAGTCTTTAAAAGAGTAAGTTTGGCTAGATTTATATTAAAGAATATTGAATAAAAAGTCGTTTTTTAAGTTAAATTTTAGTAAAGAATTTTTATAGAAATTATCACTTAAAATGAAAGAAAGGAAAATAGGACCGGAAGAGTATATTTATTAACAAGGAGATAATATGGATTGTGTTTTTTTTATACTTTCAGGAGAAGCAGATTAGGTTATTAAAAAAGATGATAAATAATAAGAAATTATTGTAAATAATCTCAAGAAAGGATGCTCTTTTGGCCAATTAGAATTTTTTTCGCAATAAAAAAGAATTTCGAGTATTAGAACGAAAAATTCAGTTTAAATGGCCTTTGTTTAATTTTAGGATTTTAAAGAACTTTTGAAAGAATATGAATAAGATAATGAAACATATAACTAAATTAAAGATCAAATTAATATATATAATAATATAAAAGCTATTTATTTGTAATGTCCATCTTGTGGGGAATATAAACATACTGTTGATTAGTGTTATTGCATAAATTTTTATTTAAATAAGGACAAATTAATAATTTAAAATTAAAAAAACCAAAATTAAATTCGAGATGCTAATTTTTATCGATAAAAAAGAAAATTTTGTACCCAAAAAGGCCTCCTATAAACTAAATAATAAGCTTTTAAATTCATAGTAGATAAAATCGCAAAATAATCAATTTGTTCTAGCTCATCTTCAGATTTAGAAGATGAAAATTTTTCACAAAATAGGATTTATTAGGGTATTTTTGCGAAAAGTTATCGAAACTTTGAAAACCTTTCATAACTAGACTATACTTATGCTGAAAAAAACAATATTCAGTTTAATATGATGCCCTAAGCTTTTCTTAAGGACAAGATTTTTAAGTTTTAAAATGTAATGAAGCTATAAATGGAATCATAGTAGTATGTTTAAATTAAAAGTAATCAATAATATTCAGCAAATTCTGTACAATATCCTGAAAATTTTATAGATGAATCTAAAGAAACATTATAAGAGATGGAAAATAGTGAAATTTACAATAGATAAAACGTAAAAGAACCTTCTATTGTGAAATAGATTTTAAAAGAATAAGTTTTTAATGGATTAAAGTCTAAGAGTCAAATGGAAAGTTCTAAATTTAGCAGAAACGGATCTTTTAATTAAGAAGATAAAGGAAATATTTATGAAGGAATTTTTTTAATGGAAGATAATAAATTTTAGTAAGATTTAGAATTCAAGGATTTAATTTTAAAAAAACAAAAAATTATTAAAAACGAAGAAAATTGTTTATTAGAATATTTTGATAAACTTAAAAATTTTTAGTTTTATTTCATACATAATAATTTTAAAAGAATTCTTCGAAACGAAATGAAAAGAAAATAAGGTTTAATTAAAAAAAATTAAATGATTGAAAAAATAAAAAATAAAAATGTAAATTTATAAAAATGAAATTTTTAAATATAACCTATTTTTGTAATTATAAATGAATATATATTAAATAATTTGCTTATATATATATAATTATATATTATTCAAAAATTAATATATAAAGAAAATTCATTCATCCAAATATTATACTTATAATTCTTATTCATAATCTTAATCTTAATCTTAATCTTAATCTTAATCTTAATCTTAATCTTAATCTTAGAATTATTATTATTATCTTTGTATTTATGTTATTTACATAACTTAAGCTAAATTTTATTATGTGCCATTAATTTAATTTCTTTGATTCCTTTAATTTCTTTAATTTCTTTATAAATTACCTATATCTAACTAAGAAGCTTAATTTATATTATAATTATTTTATTCTTATTATTATCTTTCAGAGATATATGATTAATTATTTTCTTAATTATTTTAAGCTCTTTTATTAAGTAATGACTTTTTTAAATTCCCTTATTTATTTAGATTTTCTACTTCTTTTTCTAATAAAGCTTTTACTGATAAATCTTATCTACAAAAAGGGCAATTCTCATTTTTTTTGAGCCATTATTCTAAACAATCTTAATGAAAAATATGAAAACAAATAGTCTCTCTACACATGTCTTTAATTTAAAAATCAATTAGACACACGGCACACTACTCAGAAGATCTCCTCCCTTATTATTCCGCATATTTTTTTGCATCTTCAAATAAGAGTAAGGGTATATACTTATCTAAAATTGCTTAAGTGAGTATTTTTTCTTAATTTAATGACCTCGCCTATACATAATTATTAATATTTAAATTCACTACCCTGTTTCTTTTATTGTTCCTGATTCTTAAAAGTATAATAATTACCCAAATCAATAAAAGCATTCCCGAAAAGCCTACCAGAAAATATATAATTATCAAATTCGCGTTATTTTCTTCCTCTTAAAAACTATTTGCCAAACTAATTTTTATAATTTAATTTTCCTCATTTTTCCCTTCGAACTTAAAGCCAAAAATTATCTACCTAATATCATCTACGCCCTAAAAAATTACAGAAGTACTTAACAAAAATTCAATTTTATTTTACTCAATTAAAACAACCTTATAATTATTAAAAGAAGATGGTAAAAATGAAGTTTACATTCCTTATATATTTATAAAACACAATAAATTTATACTAGATTATTTCTATATTTATACTTTAAGTAATTTTTCTCCCCATAATAATTTTTATTAATGCGTAGCTTTAAAATAAGCATATACAATATCTTTCTATACTCTAATTTAATGAGTTTCTTCATAAAAAAGTTCAGTTGCTTATTTTCCACAATCAAAATCTATAAAACCTTCATCACAAATACACTTTCCTAATACACATTTTCCATGTAAACCGTATAAGCAATTATAATGCGGACATTATTAAGAATTATGAATAGAAAATTAAAAATTCATATTTAAATTCATATTTTTCTAAACAAATATTCCTATATAATAAAATTAATCAAATTCGAGCATTTTTGGATATATTTATAAATGTAAATAACCATTATTTTTTATATATCCATCTACATCAAATAAATTTTTTTCTTCTAAATGTATTAATTCTACTATTTTTTTGTCCTATTCGTTTATTATTAATTATGGGTGTTTTTATCTCTATATGCATAAAATTGGATTTAACATTTCATATTCAGATTTATTATTTAATATTTCTATTTCAATCATTATGAAATTAAATATTAGATTTTAATTATATTTAAATTTAAATATTTATTTTAAGTCGTTTTGTATATAGTTTATTTGATATAAGCTACCGCCTATTTGTAAAGGATTTATATAAATTTCACGATCAATTACTTGAGAATATAATTAATTATAAAAAATATATTAAATTAAAAATTATAGAAACATTTTATATTAGTAAGTTATTAATATAAAAAAAAAAATACATAATAAAGATTGATAAAATATATAAATTGTTAATATATTTATATATATAATTATTTATATATTTATTAATATATATATATATAAAATATATTTATATGTATTTTAATTTTATTTAATTTTACAATAAATTTATATGTTTTGTTAATATTTTTTTTATTATTTTAATTAAAAATTATATATTTATTCTGTATAAAAATTTAATTTAAATTTTTTATTTTATTAATTTAATATTCTTCTTTTAAATATCTTTTTTGCTATAATTTCTTATTTATTTATATGTTTATAAATATTCATATTATTTATTTTAATATTCCTAATAAGAATTAAATATATTAATTGTCATTATATATCTATATAATAAAATTTTTTATTAATTAAAGGCTTAAATAAAAATATATATATAATTATAAATAAATCTATAAAAAATAATATATATTTTTTACTTTCATATTTGTATTTTTATTATTATATTATTTACCTAAAAAAAAAATATCTATATATTTATAATATTAATAATAAATAAAAATTAAATATAATTTAATTTTGATATCTTTTTATTTTTATATATTTGTATTATATATATATATATATTAAAAAATAGAAATTATATCTTTTTTTTTATAATTTAAGATATATTTATTAAAAAAAAAATGTATTTAAATTTTGAAACACAAAAAATTATATATTTCATTTTCTCAGTGATTTTGGGAATAATAATTATTACATACTCATCAATTATATATTTCCAAATTTCAGAATACTCAAATTAATTTAACTAAATTATCCGAAACTGGAAATAAGAACCTATAATTTATTTTACAGTAATTAAAAATACAAACTAAGATTGTCCACAAGATTAAGAATCATTATTTTCATATACGTAAATAAAATAAAAAAATAAAAATATTTTTTTAATATAATTATTATAAAAAATAAATATATTAATATATTAATATATTAATATATATTAATATATATTAATATATATTAATATATATTTATAATAGATGGCCAGGTACAAGTTCTGGTTGCTAATGCTTTTACTAATCATATCCCTATGAATAAGTAACAAAAGAATAATGTTGTCATCCAATATACCATAATACTACTACATGTTGCTAAGGTTATCCTATAAAACAAAATCCTTCATAAAAAATTGATAAATGGACTTTTCCTATAGGTAATTATTAAATTATAGACTCTTAACAAGTTTTTCGGATATGTATTTAAAGATTGAAAGGGTATAGTTTTTTTGAAATGAGTTAAAAAAATTCTACTTAATGTTAAAATAATGAAGAATAAAAGTGTGGTTTTAACTGTTATCCTAAAAATTTTCACTGTCCAGTTCATGAAATTTAATTTGCTAAAAATAATCCGGACACTTAAATTTTTTAATAATATATAAACATAATTGATAAAATCAATCTCTATATTTCATATGATAATAATTATTATAATGATAATAAATTCATTAATTTGCCCTTAAGTGAATTTCGAGTTTCCGCTGGGGAAGGTGTTTGTATGAATAATGAACAAACAAACATTAAAAAAGGGCAAAAGCCTTATATATTGGATCAAAGGATTCCTTGTAATGATATAGACAAGCGATTTAAATAAGTTTAATACGGCTTATCGGAAAAAGATTACCTTAAAATTAATTAACTGGACTATAAATTGGAGAGTTTATATGGTTTCTACTATTTACCTGAGTTCTATAAACTATACTAAAGGTCTTATATTTAATTAGAGTAAGTTTGTAGACCTTATATAAACTAATATGGGTAAATAAATGAAATAATTAATTAAATATCTAGCAAATGTGGGTATTTAATATTTATGTGCCTTATTTTAGGAATTTATATGGTTTTTATTGAATCTTGGGTAGGAATTTCGAAGGGAAAATATTGTAAATGGGGATGCATTATATTTTAGTTTGGACAAAATTTATAAAAAAATTTAATGTTTTTAATAGTGAAATATATTATTTGGGGCTTATGTTTTTATTTATGTTAGAAGATTATTGAGTAATAAATCATTGTAGAAAAGTTCTTAGAATTTTAATTTTAAAATGAATGTTTTAAATAAGATAATATTACTAACAATTAAATTCTAGATATTTAAAATAATTTATAAAGTTATTTTTTATAATTTTTAAAAAATATTTTATGGATTATTATTGCTTCGGAAGCAAATTTATTCGAATTATTAATTAATATGATTAAATTTAAAAATATTTTTAAAATTATTTTTGAAGATAATAATAATGAAAAATTATAATAATAATACTAAAAATATAATAATCATTAATAATATGATTATTAATATATTTATAGATAATAATAAAATTATAAATAGAATAATTAATAATAAATAAAAAATAATAATTTAAATTAAATATTATAGGAATAATAGTAATAATACTAGAAATTCTAATAATAATAATAATAATAATAATAATAATAATAATAAAATTAATAATAGTAATAATAAATAGACAATCATTATATTCCACCACTAAATCCTATGAATGATTGATTTTATTTTTAATATAAATAAAATATTTAAATATATTTAATTTTTTTTTTTCATTAAGATTTTTTTTAAATTTCTTTTAATTATAATATTTCTAAAAATCTATTATATTTTAATAGTCTTTCCATTTTTATAGGAGTGGCTAAATTTATCCATGCATTTTTTAATCCAAACTTTATTTAAAAATAAATTAAATATTAGTATATAATATACAGATATATCTATTAATGAAACATCATCAAATTCTTCATTATTATCCTATAATATTACAGTAGTACTATATTACTTTTTAAATTAATATTGAATATTGATTTTAAAAATAAATAAAATAATTTAATAAACTTTATTATTAATATATTTTGCTAAATCTAAAAAATTTGTTAAAGAAGGAAATTCAAAAGGACGTAATCTACAACAATCTAAATCGAATTTTCTCAAGTTTATTTCTTTTAGTTATTATTCATTTAAATCTATAAAAAATAATTAAATAAAAAATTATAATATATATATATATATATATATATATATATATATATATATATATATTAACTTGGATTTGTAGAAATATCTTAATTTATACTAACTTGCTTAACTTCTTATATAGAATTATATAATTACCCGCTACCAATACTTACATTTTTATCTTAAAACCTAGTCTAATTTAAAAAAAAGTAATATATATATATATATATATTTTATTATTTTTATTACTTTTAGTTTTGCCCATCCTTCAAAATCATCTTTTTTAACTGGATCTTCTAAATATCCAATAATACGATTTTCTGTACAAAGTTTTATATAAAAATCAATCTAAATATATATATATATATATATTATTATTAAAATATTGTACTAATTGATTAATATCCATTAATTATTTTGGATTTTCCATTTCATATAATTTTTTATCCTATATATACAGATTATCAGCCATAAAATTAATACCTATTTTCACATTATTAGCAAAATTGGTTTTATTAATTGCATCTTCTATCATTTTCAAATTATCATTTATACTGTCCACTGTGCATATAAAAGTTCCATCAATATGATATTTTAGAGCCGCTTCTCCTTATTTTCCACTACATATTGCTTTTTTTATATTCTAACTGATTTAATTTGCAATTTCGAATAATTACTTTGCACTCTAATAATCTTCTATTATTAATAAAAACTTAAAAACTTTACATTTTACTCCTACTAATTTACTCCCTTATAATAAATTAATTATTATTTTAGGGATTTAATTTTCTGAGTCAGGATTTGTTAATTATTTTAAGATTTAAAACTAATGTTTTTATTCAATTTTGAAATTACTTAACTTAAACTGAATGAAACTGTTTGTATAACATTAAAACAAGACTTTATTTAAAAATTTTTTATGTGTTTTTTTTTTTTTTTACATTATTATTTTATTAATAAAAATTAATTAAAATATCGTCTATCGTCCTTTAATCTTTGCATAATTTATCTTTTAATAAAGGGCTTATTTACCTTTATATATATATATATTTGATTTTCAAATTAATAACAAATATTAAGTGTACTCATTTATTAATTAAATTGCTTTTTTAACTCCTTTTCCATTATCAACTTCATCATTTTAATCACTATTTTTTTATTTTATTTTTTGAAAAAAAAAAAACATTACTATAAAGGTTTAATTTATTCACTTGCAATAGTAAATACAAAAGGAGTTATAATTTTATATTCTTTTTATTTATATAAAACACTATATTAAAGCTAAATAAATAAATTAAATATTATTTTTATATATATATATAAATTACTTTTATTGATGGCAAAAAATTTGCATTTATTATTTCAAAAGCTTTAATTCCTTAAATTATAATATCTGTTTATGCAAGCTTATTTTTATTTAACAAAAAAATAAAAATGAGTCTTTACTTTTCCAAATTCATTCATCATAAAAGCATAGGGATCTGTAAATTTTCCTTTTAATAAATTATTTGTTATATTTTAAAGAGTATCTTCTATCTTTTTTTTAAAAAAATAAAATAAATAATATTAATTTTCTTTCTAAAGAAACTTTAAATTTTCTCATATAATCTTTAAGATCTTAACTCAAATATGGAGAATTCGACATTTTTATTAATTTAATAATTTGAAAAAAAAAAAAAAATTAAATGTTGCAAAAAATATATAGTATATAAAAAAATTGTATATATTTTTATTAAAATTTCTAATTTTAAAAAATAAATTAATATAAAATACAAATGATTTTTTTATATGAAAAAATGTATATAAAAATAAATTGAATTGTTTTTTTATTTTATATATAATAAATAAATATATAAAAATATTTTATTAAAATATCCTTAAAAAAAAAAAATATTTATATAAAAATATGTTTTTAATAATCAAAATTATATAAAATGTATAAATTTGGTTTCATTTTATTTTAAAAATCTTATAAAATAAATAAATATAATTAAAACATTTTTTAAATTAAATGAAAACAAAAAATTATTATAATATCTTATAACATTTAAAATTTCATATATAAAAAAAATTTAATAATTTCCTTAATAAATTTTATAAGTAAAATTTCATAACAAATATTAGATATTTTAATTAATATAAAATAATTTAAATATAAGACAAGGCAAAAAAATATAAACTATATTTTTAAAATATTTATTAATAATTATATAATTTAGTTCTTTATAGAAAAAGAAGACCCATAATATAATTTATAGTAGTCAACAATTATTAAAAATTTAATATAAAGGCAAAAAAAAATAAAAAGCTTTTTTAATTTTAAACTTTAAATAATTAAATTTTAGTTGTTTTTGATGACATTATTAAATATATAAATATTTTTAATTAATTCAAAAAGTTAATAAAAATATTTATCTCTAATTTAATTTATAATTTTTTTTAAAAAAAAATATAATATATTATTAATAAAATATTAAACATAAAAAAAAATGATTTTATTTATAATTTAATATTTATTATTTATTAATAAATAATATTTTCAAAATAAAAATATAACAATATAAATCTCAATAATAAAAAAATAGAATTTAAGTGATTAAAAAGTATATAAAAATTAATTGTAAAAAATAATATTATAATTTTTAAATATATTGCCTTATATATTAAATAAAATAATATTTTATAAATATTTATCAAAATCTATTCTAAAATTATTATTTTAATTTTTTTGTACGTAAAATCATAATATATTTAAAAAATAGAATTTATTCATATATAAATATTTTTATATATTTTTATTTATATAAATACAATAATAATTTTATATTATTTTATTTTACTTATAATTTAAAAATATAATTACCATTTTTATTATTTTATAAAATAATTTTTTATGATTATATATATGTATTTTCCTTTTTTTATTATTATTTAATATTTTATTATATTTTAACTATTTTAATAATAATATATATAATTTTAATATATTTTTATTAAAAAATTATTATTTAATATACGTTATTATATACTTTTATATATATATATATATATTTAATTAAAATGATATATTTTTGTTTGCATATAAAATTTATTATTAAATTTTAAGTTTATTATAAGTTTATTGATAATTACTATATTGATCTGTATAAAAACAAATTAATATTAATAATAATGAAGATAAAACTTATATAAATTAAGAATCAATTTTTAAAATAAATAAATTATATTCAAATAAAAATTAATATATAAAGAGTAAATAGAACGTTTGAAATAAAATTAAGATAATAAAAAATGTATTCGAAATTTGTAAAGTAAAATTAATAAATTCAAAATATTAAAATAAAAAAATAATTTAGTAAAAATATATATAAATTAAGTTATTATTATATATATATATTATATAATATATTCATAATTTAAAATAATTTTTTTATAATTTATTTTATTTAAAAACAAATAAATAGAAAAATATTTATTTTTATTTAATAATAATAAAAAACATATTATAATATATTTTATAAAATAAATTAATCAATATAAAAATATAACAACTAAAAAATATAAAAAAATATTTTATTAAATAGGATATAAAATTATTTTTATAAAATATAAAAAATATTGAAATAATTTAATTTAAAACATTTGTTAAATTCTATAGTAGTAATTATCATATTTTTTTTTATAAATTTTAAAATTTTTTAATTTTTTTAAATAAGGAATACTAAAAGTTAATATATATATATATATTTTATTAGATGTTTTTTTTATTAATATATATAAAAAATTTTAATTTTTCTCTTATATATAAAAAAAAAATATTTAATTGAATTATATATAATTATTTCTAAAAAACTATTAATTTTTATTAATAAGAATATTTTTAATTATAATTTTAATTTTTTTTTATATTATAATTATAAGAAATTTTGAATTTAATATATAATTATTTGAAATTTTTATTAATATATTATTACTACTTTTTAAATTTATATTATTTTTAAATAATAAAAAATTCTTTAATTATATATTTATAATATATATATATACAATATATATAATATATATAATATATTTTTTATAATAATTTTATTTTTTAATAATTTTTATTTTATTTTAATTTTATAATTATAAACATATAAAATTTAAACATTCCAATACATTATAAAATTAAATATTTAAATATAACATATGTTTTTTTAATTTGTATATTATATATTTAAGTCATTTATTTTGATTATAATTATAAATTTTATAAAAAAATATATTATCTATTTAATTTATAAGTGATAATACTTTTTTTAATATATATTATAATTTAATTAATAAATTTAATATAGATGTAAATAATAATTTATTTTCTATTATATTTTTAATTTTTTTATTTCTTAATATTTAAATATTATTATTATAATGAATCTATATTTTTTATAAAAACAAATAAAATATATAATTAAAAATAAATAAATAAAAAAAATTATTTTTAATTTTTTATAAAAAATGAATATATAAAAAACAATAATCTAAATAAAATAAAATTAATAAAATATTTTACAATTCTATATTCAATTTTACTAAATAATATACTATATTAAATAAATATATATTTATATTAACATTTAATTAATTTTGTGAATAATTTTTTATATATATTAACTATTAGAAAAATTTAATCATTTTTATTCTTTTTAAATAATTTTTTTTAATTTTTTTGGTATTCTTATAATTCCTATTTTAAAAAATTATATTAAAAATAAATTCAAATAATTACATTTGTATTAAATCTTAAGAACAAAGTAATTTTGTTATTTAAGCAAGAGCAAGCTGTCATATGTTCAGAACAAGCATAACTTAAGCATTTTTAGCAAAAAATATAAGAAAGATAACAATAGCAACTACATGTTTTACAACTATATCTATCATATTTAGCATTTTTATTGAAAAATTCTAAAATTTCAATATTTTATCCATACAATTTTATTAAATTCATCCTATTTTCTATTTCAGAATTTTTAATTTTCTCCCATATATTATATATCTATTAAAAATAAAAATCTATAAAATATATAAATACAAATATATGTATTTACTTATAAAAGTGCATCTAAAGAAAAACTAGTAATATTTAAATTTTCTATAATTTAAACAATAAGCCATTCAATAGAAAAGGAAAGCTTTTTAGAAAAACCCTTTTTAGCATTGTCATTTTTAGCTTCATAGAAACTCGAAATCCATTCAACAGAGGCTAAATTTACAGCTTCTCCGCAATTAAAACCATGTGAAAATCCCCCATGGTACACTTTTGGGAAAGTAAAGATAAATTCCCCTTCTTTTTAGTCAGCTCTATATATAGGAATGTCATTTAATAAACCTTCTAAAGGACATAATTAAAGGTTTAAATTATTCAAAACATTAGGGTTTTTCATAAAAACTCCCTTGTATTTTTCTTAATAGATTTTTTCGAATTCCTCTTTATATCGACCAGGAATTGCATACCTTTTTTTTATTAATTTTTTTTTTTTTTTTCAAAAATTTATAAAAATATAAAAACCATGTTTTTGGACTTCCCATATGTAAATAATTCATAGATTACATATATATATCTTCTACATGAAAGCAAAAAGAAGCAAATAACATTCCTAAATAAACCCAAGGATTGGTAATTCCACTAATTTAACAGTTTTGAACTATTTTTAAAAATTAAAAAAGACTGTCTTTTTCATAATTGGTATTTTATAAATTGAATGGATGCCTATAGTTAACAAGGTCATTTTAAGTAGGTTATTTTGGAAAGGCACTTCCGTATTTTTAAGAAGGTAAATCAGCAGCATATTCTACTATTACCTATATTTATTTACGTATTATTTTTAATTATAATTTTTTTTATATTTTTTTAAAAAAAAGTATATATTATTACATTTTAGAAATGTGAAGGATTTTCTACAATAGACCAATATTCGAATTCGTTATTTCTTAACAAATCGTTATGTCCATTTTAAGTTTAGTATTAGTAATTCTACTTAAAATTATTAGCAAGTTCTTTAAACTCATTATACATATATTCCTTATCACCGGATACAAAAGGCTATATATTAAAAAAACTATATAAATATAAAAAAATATATATTTATACTTCTCCTTTAGAAAGTTTATTTAAGCTCTAAATCCTAGTTTTGAATTTAGAATCTATTTAACAAAATTAATATTCAGGTTTCCATTAATATGGAGGAATAATCTTAACTATCCCATGCTATTAATAGCCTTACTTATATAAACTAGATATAAGTGAAAATGGGGAATTGAACTCTTCTATAGAAGGTATATATATAGGTACGTCCCTAAATTAGCGAAAGTCCTTAGGATTTCGGATTATTGTTATATTTTCATTGTAATTGTAATAAGTAAGTTTAGATTATTTTTTTTAAGGATGGATCTTTTAATTTTGAGATTTTCTAATGGATTTTTTAAGTATTTAGTCATTTTGTAAGTCTTTATATTATTAAGAATTTCTTTTCATTTTTATTTATTTTTAAAAAATTTTTCTCTTTTAATTTTTTTTTTTTTCCCCTTTTGTTTTTTTTATTTGTTAATAAAATTTTTTCCTTTTTTTAATTTATGTTTTTTCCTCTATTTCTAATTAGTTATTTTTCTATTAAAATTATTTAAAAATCAAAGAGAAATAAATAACTTAAAATTTAAAAAAAAAAAAAAAAAATAATATAAAACTTAAGAATAAATAAATGCAATTTTTTACCTAAAATAATATTAAAAAAGCTTATATCGTTTATGCAATTTAAATTAAAAAAAATAGAATTTTAAATATACAAATAAATAATTATTATAAAAATATAATTTAAAAATATATAATTAGATAAAAATAATAAATATTATAAATGAATTACATTATTTGTTTATATAAAATTATATCAATTTATAATAAAAATTTATAAAATAAAAATTTAATAAATATCTTTTGATTATAAAACATTTTTAATATTTTATTAATAAATATTAATTTGTAAATATTGATTTATCTATTATTTCTATATAATTTATTAATTTTTTTTTTTTTTTTCTTAAACAATAATTTTAAATTATTATTATTAATAAAGATATTTTAATATTTTTTTATTTATATTTATATAAATGAAAATTATTAAATTTATATTTTACATTAGCATAGATATATTTAAAAAAATAAAAGAATTAGTTTCTAAAGATCAAAGAAATTAAAATATCTTTATTTCTTTTTATTTATTTTAAATTTTTTTAAAGCTATCAATTATATAAAAATTTAATATAAAATAAAAAAAATTAATATAAACCATATAAACTTAGTTTATTTAAATTTTAAATAGAAAAGAAAAATATCGATATTAAAATTTTAAATATAAGACAATAATTAATAAAATTGTAAATAATTTATTGTATTAAAATATATATGATTAAACAAAAATTAATATAATAATTACTTATTTATTTTTTTTAATAAAAAATGCATAAAAATATATAATAATGTTTTATTCATTTATTTATATTAAATTATGAAGATAATTCATATTTTTTAAATAATATATCTAAAATAATATATTGGATAATAAAATCTATATTTTTTAATATATTATTTATCTTTATTTTATTCTATTAATGTAATTTATTATATAAATTAACTTATTTTTATCCTTAATAATTTAATTTTTTTCTAAAAAATATACTAAGATATTTATGATTTTCTTTTAATATAATGAAATATATTATTATTAAAATGAAAATAATTAAATAAAATAAAATAAAAGTTATAATAACAAATTGAAAAAATTCTAAATAAAATAAAAATCTATTTATAATTATAAACACATAAAATAAATAAAAAACAAAAATCAATATAAAAAAAAAAAAACATGGACTAAAATAAAAAAGTTGATTCCAATGTAACCGTAAGTAAAATAACTACAGTTACCTAAAGTAAGGTTGACACTTCCGTAGTTATGAATCCTGACTCTAAAAAAGACATAAAGAAGACCACAAACGAGCTCTAGCTAATTTTCTAAGCAAAAGATGAAGAAATAGAATACTGGAAGTCTTAATGTGAAAAGTAAACTACCGTCATAACTGAATTAGAGATCACAAGTCGTCAATAAATAGAAGATAATTCTTAAGAATTAGCTAAAAGAAACGAAGAAATAGTTCTATTGAAAAGAAATCTCGAACAATTATAGAACTCATCTAGTTTCAGAATTAAATAATTGGAAGAACAACTAGCCTTAAAAGAGAATGAATTGAAAAATCTAGGAAATTTACTCATATAAGCAAAAACGGAAAGCGAAAAAATCAAAGCAACCTAAAGATAAAACGAAAACAGAATTTAAGAACTTACTAAAATCGAATAAGATTATAAATAGAGAGGAGATCTTATTATAGTCTTGAATACTTAAATTACAGAACTTTCCTAAAAAAATTAAAACCTAGAATAACTCTTGAAGGAATCATAGGCTAAGAATGCTTAATACGAAAATTAACTTTAACTTTTGGTTTCTTAATTACAATAAGTAAACAGCGTAGTAGCAAAAAAAGAGTAAGAAACACATGATATTCTTGAAAAGCTTCGCTAATCCGAAGAAAAATCATAAAAGCAAGCCTAAATGTTATAAGAAGAGCGTTTAAAATTGAACACATATGAAAAGAAAGTAGAAAATTTAGAAAAAAGAATAAAAGAACTCGAACAAATAATCTCTAATATGAGTTAGGAACTAAATAAATTAAATGAAGATAATTCCAAATATTCAAGAAAAGCTAATGAAGATGAAGTCAGAATTAAATAATTATAAATGGAAATTGAAAGATTGAATTAAGTTATAAATTAACTCGTTGAAAAAAATAGGTTTTATGAAGAAAAAGGAAAATAATAAGACTCAACTATTGCATAACATATTATCGAAATTAACAAACTTACTAGTACTGTTAATACTCAAAATATAGAAATAAATAGACTCTAGGAACTTCTCAACAGTAGAAATAAAGAAAATGAAGACTTAAAGACTTATATAGTATAACTGGATAGCAATTGGAAGAATTCTGAAAGCTAGCTTATAAGTCTGAGGGCTAAATATTCCGAATTAGAGAGTAGACTATAGGTTTAATAGAATTAATTGGAAAATTATTTAATTGAAATTAATCGTTATAAGGAAACTATTGTAACTTTGAATCAATAGAATATCGATTGGGAGGCTAGAGTGGCTATGTTAACTAGTGAAATTGAAAGACTGAAAGTATTATTGTCTAAAAGAGATGAGTAAATAAAAGAATTGGAAGAAAGATATAAGAAATTAGAGTATGAATTCAAGATTATTAAGGAAAAAAATCTAGTATTAAACACAGAAATCGATAGATTGACAATTTAAGTCGAAGAAGTAGAAGCAGAAAGTGCTGAATTAAAATAATAAGTCTTCACTATGAAATAATTAACTTTCTAAATTAGTGATCTACATCTACTTTTAGTCAAACTTTTCGCAGAAATAGAATCTCTTAGGGCTAGAGTCAAAGCCAAATAATAAGAAGTTGATGATGTTAGAAGAAGTTCTTTAAAAAGCTTTAGAAATTGATAAAAATAAAAAAATATTTTATATTTTTTTTATTATTATTAAAAATTTTAATTTTTTATTTCTTTAAAATTATTATTAAAAAAAATAAATAAACAAAAATAATTATATTATAAAATAAATATATATAAAAAAAGTAGTTACAAAAAAATAAAACATGAATATACAATAAATTCGTAACGAAATATCCCATGAATTCCTCGAAAACTGTTAATAAATAAAACACGAGGCGAATAAAATATTAATAAGCGAATTAGAATACCCTTCCCGAACCCTCCAATAAGACAGCGAAGAAACTCTAGACATAGTATTTCGTGGAAACGATAAATTAAACTTCACATCTAGATTAAAAGATAAAGATATAATAATATTATCAGAAGTTCTTAAAAAGCATGCATCTATAATACACCATATAGACTTAAGCTTTAATTTAATTACCGATATAGGGGCTGAAGCCCTATCTTCTTTATTAGCCTTATGTAATAACATCGAATCTTTAAATTTATAAGGAAACAATATTGAAAATACTGGCGGATTACATTTAGCCGATAAACTAAAAGAAAACTTTTCTTTGAAATATTTAAATTTAGATTCTAATAAAATTAAAACCAATGGCTCTATGAATATTATTGAAATCCTATTTAATAATAAAAACTTGATTGAATTAAATTTAGCAGATAATGATATTACTCATGATGGTATGATAGGAATAACTTCAGTTTTAAATTTTTAAAATAATACTCTAGCAGTTTTAAATGTAGATAAGCCTACATATACATCTATAGGTTAAGAAACCGCAATTCATTTTGCAAAAATGCTTTAATCCAATCGTTCTTTAGAAAAGCTTTCCTTATAAAAGCATAATTTTACATGTGAGGCTATATATATCATGACTGAGCATTTATTAGAAAATAATAAATTAAGAGTACTTGATTTGACCGCTAATAAAATCTCCTTTAAAGGCTGTGAGGCTATTGCTAAGTATTTATTAAGCGAATATTGTGTTTTAGAAAGTTTGATCCTTAAATCAAACCGAACAGGACATTATGGGGCCAAAGCAATAGCCTAAGCACTTTCTAAAACTAAATCTTTGGTTCATTTAGATATGACATATAATGATATAGATGATAATGGTCTTAAAATGATTGCCGAAGCCTTAGAAAGTAATAAATCTTTGGTAAGCTTGAAGTTATATTTTAATCATTTTGGTTAAATGGCTTTATAAGAATTTCATAAATTAAGAATTAAACCAAGAAAGGAAATATGGTATTGGGATTTTCATACATATGTGGTGGATGATCATATAGAAATGGCATATATTGATACTAGAATACCATATGATATTTTTGTATCATTACCTTATTATGTGTGAATATATATATTTTTATATTTAAATAATAATTTTTGTAATTTTCTTTTAATAAATTAAATTTTAATAATAGTTTTTATATTATATACATATTAGTGTATAATCATAATTACTTTTTTAAGTACATAATTACGTTATTTTTTTTTGTATTTATTTTTAGAAAACATAATAGAGACTAAAAAATGTAATAAGACTTTTTAAATAATTATAATTAGATAAAAAAATTAAATAATAATATAAAACATTATATATTTATTAAATATAATATATTATTATAATGAATATATAAAAATAATTATTTATAATTTTATATTCATCTTAAATATAAGATATACATATTTATATATTAAATATATATATATAAATATTCAAATTTAATTATTTTTATAATTGAATTTAAAATTCTATATATATTTATATATATATTAAATTAAATATTTTATATTTTTTTATTTTATTTACATATATATACTTATAATGTAAAACATATATAAATATATATATTTTTTTTTTATAAATAATCATTTATTTTCTACATTGTTTTTATTATTTTATGAATTATCGGCATAATCAATTTAGTTTTCATTTTTTTTTCGTTTTTTACATTAAATTATTGTATTTTTAATTTCCTCTAATGTTTTTTTTACAGGATAAGCTAAATATTTTAAATATCCAAAATTACTAAACTCTTCTAATTCATCATTATATATTAAAACCTTAGTTTTGGTTTATTTAATTTATTGATTTTATTTTTATTAGTCTTGGTTACTATTTTTCTAATAATAATTTATACTTATATGTATAGAGTCTAAATAACCAACAGAATTCTAATTATTGTACTTTTTAGCATATATTTTATCGAAATATTATTAAATTTAACAATTTTATTATTAATCAAGTTTATTTTATTAAGTAAATTAAGTTAATAATTTCCTTTATTTTTTACAAAATAACAAATTTATATAGATTTTAATATTTTTACAAAGCCTCATCTTATTTTTCTTTATTATATAATATTTTAACCATTAATAAAACTGCATTTAAATAATTAAAATTTAAATCAAGAAACTATATAAGTATATATATATATTAAATATGGTATTAAATATATTAATAAATAAATATTTTATATAATATGTATTAATTTTACTTCTTATAAAATTTTTTCTCCTAATTATTTATTTTATTTTAATGTTATTTTGCAAAGTAATACATATATCGGAAATACTATTAGATTAAATGATTCTTATATATTCTTTTTTTTTCAATTTATTATGTAAAATAACTAGTTTTACTTATTCATTCCAATTTTATTTTTATATATGATAAAAGACATTTATAACTTAAAATATATTTATTATTGCTTATTAATTCTTATTATATTATTTATATTTTAAAGACTGTAAATATTAAGAACACCCCATTCGATTATATCTTCATATTAAAATTATTGTAGTTATTCAAATAAAGATTAAAATTCGTTAGTTTATTTTAAATAATCAACTCCGAAGTTTCTTTTATATATATTTTTATATTTGATTAATTTCTAAATAAAAGTACTTTTTTATTATATTGATTATATCATCAAAAAATGAGTTCATTTTATTTTTTTTATTTATTAATATTTTAATTTTATATATAAGTTAATTTTTTTTTGTAAAAAAAAATAAATAAATTATAAAACAAAACAAAATCTTCAGATGTTTTTATTTTTAAAAGGACTTATTTTTTGTAAAATAGGTTTAATTTCGATTCTTTTCGTAAAATTTATTAAAGAAAATCCAATATTAATGTAAAACCTTCTTAAATGTGGACAATTATTACCACATTTTTAATGAATAGTATATAGTTTTATATAATAATTTTTGAAATCTTCATAAGAAATACCTTAATTTAGAGGTTTTTTATAATATTTATTAATTAACTCTTTAATTAAATTTGAATATTTATCATTTTTTTTATTAATTTAAATATAAATTCTTTTAATTGTAGGTTCTAATAATAACTAATTATCATTTAAAATTTCCAAATTTTTCTGATTTTAAACTAAACTGATATCATTTTAAGAAAAAAGGCCATTTTCTTAAAAATATTGCATTAATTCTTAATCTTTTAACACTTAAATTTTCTGATTTTCTTCAGTTTATTGTTTTTTTATTTAAATTTCTTCTAATTCTTATTATTTATTTATTATCTAATTAATTTTTTCTTATTTTTTTTATAAAAAATCATCACTATCAATTTAAAAAATCTTCTATTAAAAATTCTCCTATATAAATTTATTTTTTAATCCTTCTATTTATTTCTAATCAACAATTTTTAATTCTAAAAGAACTTTTTCAATTAAAGCCCAAACTAAATCATATCCTGTTTGAGACTCTTAATGATTAAAACTTGGATTTTCATATTTTTTATATATTGATTTTCTCACTTATTACTTTATTTATTTATTTAAAGTTTCTTATTAGCCATTTTCGTCTATTATTTATATATCTTACTCTATGTATTTATTGTCTATATATTTATTATCTATATATTTATTTTCTTAATTATCTATAATTTTATAATCTATATTTTTATTATCTTTAGTATATATGTATTTATTATCTTTAGTATATATATATTTATTATCTTTATATTTATTGTCTTTAGTATCTATATATTTATTGCCTTTATTATCTATAAATTTATTGTCTTTATTATCTATATATTTATTGTCTTTATTATCTATATTTTTATTTTATATATTAACTAGTTATTCGCTTTATATATTATTTATATTTTTATTTGATATATTATCTGTATCTTTATTTTATATACAATCTATATTTCCATTTAAAATATTATCTAGGTTTTCATTTAAAAATTTATCTATATTTTCATTTAAAAATTTATCTAAATTTTTATTTAAAATTTTATCAAGATTTTCATTTAAAATTTTATCAAAATTTTCATTAGAAATTTTATCTATTTTTTCATTTAAAATATTATCTATATTTTCATTATTAACTTTATTTAAATTTTTATTGTTTTTATTTGTATTAAAATTATCTAAAAAAGATTTTTCTTTAATTATTATTTTCTTTGTATCAATTTATTCTCCAGAAATAGGGTCAATATAAATTTTTTATATTTAATTTTCTTAATTTACTATATCTTATTTATCTAAATAAAAATTAGAACCAGCTAATTTATTAATTATCTTTTCTTAACCTGTTAATGGGTCTATTATTTTGATGTTTTCTATATCATCTTTGTTTTGATTGGGATTCTATTTTCTTATTTTTATTTATTATTTAATTATTTTTGGAATTAATTCCTTTATCACTTTTTTATTTCCATTCTAATCTATTATATACTTTTCTATTTCTTCGAATCCGTCTTATACTTCAAACTTTACATTTAATATATATATATTTATATATATATATATATATATTAAATAATTTTATTTAATATTAAGAATATTATTTATATTTGTTTATGTTTACTTCTTATGTAATTTCTTCATAAAAATCATCTTCATTTCTAAATATATTATCATTCTATTGTTTTTGTTTTTAAAATAATAATAAATATTAATTTTTTACTAATAATAATTATTATTATTATAATTATTATTATAATTATTATATTATTATTATTATTATTTTTATTTTATTTATTTTTTAATATTAAATGATTCTTGTATATTTTAGCTATTTGAATAAATAAGTTTTTTTGGACTATTATTATAACTATTCATTTACTTATATTTATTAAAAGTTTGACTTTTTTTAATCTGGTTTTTATTATTTGCCTCTTATTCTTAATTTTAAAGATAATATTTTTAAGAATTACTCATAGTACTTTTCGAAGTTTCCAATTTATTTTTTTCTTTTCTATTTTGTTTTTATTAATTAAATTCAACATCTATTTCTTCTTCTTATTCTAAGCTTTTTAACTTTCAATATATATAAAATTATATAATTTAACTTAAAAAAAAATATATTAAATAAATATACATCAATATCCACATCCTATATATTTTCATTCTAAACAATTTTCTTTTTTTGATAATTTTAATATCTTTTTATTTTTATTTATTTTCTTCCTAAAGCATTTCATATTATTAATTATTTGTCCCTTTTTATTAACCTAGAATATGCTCATTAATATTTAAAGACATATTGATACTTCTATTAGATTAATAATCATTATCTATAAGTTACATCGAATTTTTCAAAGACTTAATAAAAAAATTAATTAATTCTTATTTCTCAGAAGATATATTAGGACTCTCATATGTTGATTATAATTTAAAGATAATTTATTTCATAGATTCTTATCCTAATCCACTATCTATAAGTAATTATGATATAAAAACTAAATTTTAATATTCTTTTTAATCTATATTTTTCAATTAGTTTTAAAGTTTTAAATTTTCTTCTTTTTAAATGAAAAACTCTTTTTAAATTTCGAAAAATTTCTCGTCTTTTTTTTGAATTATGCTTATATATTTTTCTTTTTCATTATCGTCCTTTTGCTTATTTGATATATTTTATTCTTATTATTATTTTTATATAGAAAGATAAGATTTCTTTTCTAAATTTAATTTGCTTTATTCATCTTTATAATGAATTATATCTATAGCTTATTTATTTAATTCAGATTCTTTATATTCTAATTAGAACTTAAAGTGCTTGATTTCTTCGTTTTTCTTATCTATTTCGTTTAATGTTTCTTAAACTTTATTTTCTAATTGTAAATTTTTTTCTTTTATTTAAACAATATCTTATAAATTTTTTCCAAATTTATTTTTTTTCTAAATAATATTTACTTATTACTAATTTATTAAAAAATATATTATATATATATATATATATATATATATATATATATATATATATATATTATTTTAATGAACTTTTATTTATTATCTTTATTTACTTTCTTTAAAAACTCTATTTATATATTCTAAAATTTTATTAGCAGTTTCTAATTAAACATCTGTAAATTCTTATTTTATATATTTTTAGATTTCATATAATTCATCTTAAAAATCATAATTATTATTAATATTATTATTATTATCATATAAATTATAGGCTTAAAAAATATATATAAAAATAGTTGATAAAATATTAAATAATAAAATAAAAATATATTAAATATATAAATATATATATATATATATATATATATATATATATATATAAATTACTTGCAATTAGTTAAGCAATATCAAATTTTGTATTTTACAATTTTTTATGAACATCTTTAATTTTGTTACTAGCCTCTGAATATTCGAATTCTATATTTTTTTTAGCCTTCAAAAATTTACTGATTTCTTATAAATTTTCATCTGAATCTCTAAATATTTAATTTATTTAATTATTAACTTCAATTTTATCGTATTTATTTCTAGCTTCCTTTAAATCTACTCCTGTATCTGTACAACTATTTACATATATTTTAAACTATATATAATTATAAATATATATAAAATATAAATAAAATATGCTCTATTATCTTATTTCCTTGCAATTTATTTTTAATGTTAAGTCAAAACTTTTATTTAATGTTATTTTAATCTATATTCCTATAAAGTAAGTTTAATGTTTTCCCCATTTGAGTTTTTATTTTAAACTTTTTGATTCTAATTATTAAATATTCTTTCACTTTCAAAATTTAAAATTACACCATCTATATTACTTTATTTTACAATATTATCAATTATGCGTATGTACTAATCATTTAATAATTAACTATTACTTTTATTTCTCTTTTTTATTTATATACTATTACTTTTAGAACGAAATTACGAATAATCGTTTTAACTTTGGAAATTTCGGTGTGATAAATACGGATCCATTAATAAATAATTTTTTAATATTATATTTATTTATCCGTTTATAAATATATTTTAATATAATATTTATTTATATATTAAATGTTTATTTAGATAATAATTTATAAAATATTTATTATATATATATATATATATATATATATATATATATATTATTTTATATATTTTTAGTTATTATACAATAAATACTAAATTAATTCATTTATTTTAGGTATAAATTATAAATTATGAATATATATATAAAACTTATATTAAATTTTAATCAATTTTACATTTCTTCTAGTAAAATTTCAAATTATTCTTTTTTTTCCTCATTAATTATTTTAGGTATTTCTATATCAAACTTTATAAATAAATCACCTTTTTAAGCTTACTAATTGAAATTCTCCACTTTAAATTCTTCGGAATTATAAATAGGCATTCCTTCACCCTCTACCATTTTTACTGTTTATGGACTTTATAAAATAAACACATACATATTATAATAATATTTAAAAATATAATTATTTACTTAATTACTTAATCCATAGGTATAAGAATAGTTCTTTTATCGAAAGTAATAAACTCAACGAATTTAGCCGATAAAGCATCAATCAAGTTAATTTTATGTAAATAAATAAAATCATTTTAAACTCTTTTAATATTTTTATGTGGTAATTCTTTAATAGTAATAACTAAATTAGCTTTATTTTATTTTTTTTAAAAAAATAAAATGTATAATGTAAATTTTTTATTTTATTTTACAATTTTCTACTCCAGGTTCTTAATGACCTAAACCTTAATAAACTATTTTTTAACCATTATAAAATCCTGGTTTAATTTCAATTTTTTTTATTTCAGTTATTTCTTTTGTTGTTATTCCATCTTTATTTAATATCTAAAAAACATATATATATATAATCACATATATAAATACAGTTCTTTTATATGTAATTTCCTTTATACAACCATTATATAACTCATTTAATGTACATTCAATTTCTACATGTAAATCTTTTGGCATTGATAAGTTTTTATTTAAATGGGCAAATGGATATCTAAATAATTCACCTATATCTTATTTATTTGTTGTATCTAGTTTATATATATATAATATATAGATAAAATATAATCATATATTTTTTTTTAAAAAAAAAGACCATATGTTTGTTTAAAAGGATTTCCTGTTCCAAAAAATTTTTCGAAAATTTCTTCTGGATTTCCTTCGAATATATATCCTCCCTTTTTTTTTTATTTTTTAGTTATATTTTTTTGTTTATTTTATAATTAACTTTCAAGTCTTTTTTATTTTTGTTAAAAAAATAAAATATATGTTTTAATATTATATATTTTTTTATTACTTTATTAACTAAAAAATCCTTCTTTTAATTTAAATTCACCATATTTATCATAAAATGATCTTTTTATTGCTATTTTTTTTATTTATAAATGGATTTTTTTATTGATTTTTTATACGATCGCTTAAAACTTAATATGCTTCAGAAACTAAACAAAAATTTTTATAAGTTAAATAAGGATTTTCGGAATTATATTTTGGATGATATTTAAGTGATAATTTGCAATATCTTTATTAATAATTTATTTGTATAATGTATAAAATATTTACGCATGTGCAATCATACTTTATGTGGCATCTCTATTTATTTCTAAGTCATTATAATAATTCCTTTACATCTTTATATATTTTTAGAAATTTAATTTAAATAATATTTTTCGGTTTTTTTTTATTATATATATATATATATATATATATATATTAAAGATAAATAATATGATAAATAATATTTATTTATTTTTAAATCTTATATTATAATATTAAAATAAATAAAAAAAATTATATAAATGTATTATTATAAAAATAAATAAAAAAATAAAAATATATTAATAAATAAGAAATATATTTAAAATATAAATAAGTAAAAATATATAAAAAAAAAATATTTATATTTATAATTATTTTTATATTTATATATTAATCATATATATATATATATATATAAATTTATATTTCTTACACAAATATATTTATCTTTATATATATTTATATATATTTGAATAATGTTTATTTTCCTTTCATAATATTAATCATTACTAATAATTCCTATTTATTTCTTTAATTATACTTTAATATTTTTATTTAGCAACTCATAAATATTAACTAAATTATTAATTATACTTACAAGTAATATTTTTTTAACATTATTTATTTATTATATAAAAAAAAATTAAATACATATTTAATTTATTATCAAGTTATTTTTTTTCCGTTTAATAAAGTTTTGAACTTTAAAAATAAATGTTTATAAGTTTATAACCTAAATCATATATATTTTGTATACTTACTTTATAAAATTTCTACCTTATGTATATACTTTTTTTACATTAAATATAATATTTACATTCTAATATTAAAAATATATATTTATATATACAAATCATTTCATATTATCACAAAACATATATTAAAAAACAAATGCATAGTTTTAAATGCCTTAAAACAAATAATATATAATTAATAAAAATTTGAAATTTTAATATCTTTCAAAAATAAAGAATTAGTTAAAATAATTTATAAAATATCTTAAAATAAATTAAATTTAATATCTTGAGCAATTAAATCTAAAAAATTGAAATAATTATTTAATTTAGTTAAGAAGTTAAATTAGAACGTATCATATTTATCGAAATCGTTCCGAATTCTCCCAATAATAGTAAATTTAATAAGAAATTCTATAAAATATATATATATATATATATATATATATATATATATATATATGTATATATTGATAAAAAAATAAAATAGAATATAATTAAAATTAAACAATGAATGATATACTTAGAATTTATATTATTTTTTATGTACAGTATTTATAATTATATTAAAAATACTTAATAATTGATTCTAAGATAATAAAAAGCATATCTTGATGTTAATATATTATTTTTTTAACTTAATTTAAACTCACATTTTATATTATTAAATAAATATGAAAAAGGCTTAATTTAATAATTTGTAAATAAATGTTAGATTATTAAATTTAGTTTTTTTTTTTTAAAAATAAATAAATAAATAAATAAAATAAAATTCTATTATATTTTTAAACATACTAGTGTTTTTTTTAAAACTTTATATTATTGTATTATTATATAATAACAAAAATTATTTTATTTATATTCAAAATGCTTATCTTCTAGTAGCAGTATTCATATAAGGTCTTAAAACCCATTCTTTGGTAGCTTCAGTTTAATCAATAGTTCCAAGTGAGATTTAGTATGGTTTTAATTCAAATCTAGGTCCCAATTCATTAAGTTCGACAGTTTTATAATCACTTTTTTCATATAAACAATGTCTAACTGAAATAAGGTCGCTATTATTTGCAAAAGAAACAACTTCATTAAGTCGATTTTAATCACTTTTTTCATATAAACAATGTCTAACTGAAATAAGGTCGCTATTATTTGCAAAAGAAATAACTTTTTTAGAATCTATTTTAGGTATAGGGAATAAATGCTTGAAAATATTCATTATTCGTTATCCTAACGCAGTAGAAAAATTATGAAAAATCAAATGAGGATTTTATTAACTTATAGAATCTAATTTAGCATTTTTAATGTCATGTCTTAATACACAATTTTTAACTCCCAAATATAATGTAGGGCCTAAAGGAAAATGAGAAATTATCATACCATCAGGTTCGCCACGATGCTCATGAACTATTACTAAATCTGTAACATTTTTTTAGTTACAAAATTAAACTAAGTTTTTTATTACAGTAGCACCCCTATTCATTCTTTCACTATTAGGGAAAAACGAGACTAATTCCTTATATATAAGTATAATTTTATATATAAAAAATTTATATATATATATATATATAAATATTAATATAATTGCATGCTTTTTTTACTTTTTAAAAACTTATTAGTCTTGGTGAAGGACTTCTTGAAGTCGTTATTAATATCATTGGATCACGATATTAAGCCATTGCATATTCATCGTCAATATGATTTCTGGGAACTATAATTATATAATATAAATATAAAAAAATATTTATATTTATATATATTTATATATATATATATATATATATAATTTATAAATATATTTATATTTATTACTTATTGTATTATCATCGTTTGCTTATAATTCCTTTTTTAATTTATCCGATTCTTTATATAATTCGGTTGGAATTTATTAATTGGCTATTTTATTTTTGTTATTATTGTTAGTTTTAATTTTTTATAATAAATACCATTTATTGCGTTTTTTATTTGCATTTTTTAATTATATTTTTATTTGGCTTTTTTTTCTTATTCCATATTGAATAAGTATTCTCTTCTCATTCTAATATTTTTTCTAATCATTTTTTTTAATATTATTTTTATCTTTAATATAATAATTGTCTTTAAATATATATAATTTTAGTTTAATTTAATAATAACAAATTATTTATACATTATTTTTTTTCATTTAATAAAATATTACAAATAAATATTCAAATTTTTTTTTTTTCTTATAAAAAAAAATAAAATAAAAATTATAAATAATTTAGTATTTTTTTTTTTAAAAAAAAAAAAAAACTAAAAAAACATGAATTTTGAAACTTCTAAAACTAAAACGAACAGTTCCATTTTTTATATAATGACTTAATTTAGTGAGCATAAAAAGCCTTTAAAGCTTTTTAAAAACAAATTATTACCAAAAGACCACGAATTTAAAAATACATTCATAAATAAATCATAATCTATAAAATAGGAAATAAAACCGTAATAACTTTTCTATACAGAACCAAATTATTCATAATTAAAAAACTAAAAATTATCTAATTATTTAGAACCAATAATAAATAAAAAAGAAACACAAAAAATAAGACCTTTACCTGAATACTAAGATTATATACTTTTTAAAAACGAATTATATAAAAAGACTTAAAATGCTAAAAATAATATAGAAAATACTATATTTAATTTAAACTAAACAAAATAAAATATGTTTTAAAAATACAATACTGAGAGACCTCCGTGTATAATAAAATGATTATTTATATATATAAATATATATATATATATATAAAGATAATTAAAATAAAGATGAAAATAAAATAAATTAAATGGGTTTTAAATATAAATTTAAAAACCATTTATAAAGATTATCTAAAAATGATAAATGTTTCTAATAATTTTAAAAATAATATTTAATTCACTAATCTTCTTCTATAGCATCTATTAATGAATTTTTACCTTTAGATTTATAAAAGTAATTAACTAATAAATAAAATAATAAAAGCTAAGATTTTAACTATAATACACTTTTAAACAAATAAATAAAAACAATATAAAACACATAAAATAAAGATGATTTTTCTACAAATAACTCTCATTAAAATAGTGTTTTTATTACTAAGAAAATATCTAAAAACACAAATACTTCTAAATCAACTTGTTTATAAGAAATATAGTTCGAGTTTTCACAAAAAGAACTAGATAATCCCGAAAATTGCTTTATTAATTTTGAGGTGGAAAATTTAGGAGCTCTATCTATTGAAGAATAGACAAAACTTAATGTAATTCAATATTTTTTTATTAATTTTTTGAATAATATTTAATAATTAGAAAGGTAATAAAAAAATAAACTTATTTGTTTTACTTTTTATTAATATGTATATATATATATATATAGAATAAAATAATTCAAGAAAAGATCTGTAAAACAATTAAAAAAAACTTAAGGTTGGAATGAAAAAATGGAATAATTTTTACTAACAGAAGATGGTCTAGATATTAGGAAAAATATATAATTTTAGAAAATATTTCTTTAAGATCTTGTTTTATAATCAAATTAATAATAAAATAATTTAAAAAATAGTTCTAAATAGATAAATGTGTCTTTTGGTGATAAAAAGTTTGTAATTGATTTAGATTTAATATGGGAAAATATATAAAGGTTTCAATATTTTAATAAAAATATACTAAGTTTTCTAAAAGATAAAGAATACGAATAGTATAAATTATATAAATAGGATGTTATAGATGAATTAAAAAATATAAATAGTAAATATATATAAGAAATTAATAAATAATAGATTTAAAGTAAAAAATATAATTAATATAAAAATTTAATGGAAAATATTAAATTTATTGATGAAAGAAAAAATTATCTAAAAAAAGAATAAGGATTAGATAATGTTTAATTTAAAGAATAAAGTTTAGGAAACTTCCCATATATACTATAATATAATAGAATTTAAAGAAATTAAATAAATATTTCCTCTGAAATAACAAGAAATTATGAAAAATATTTATGAAAAAAAATGTATATTTTAATATATTAATAAAAATAGAATTTCATATATTAATAAAAAAATATATATATAATAAATAATATTAAAATTTAATATTTAATATTTAATATTTAATATTTAATATTTAATATTTAATATTTAATATTTAATATTTAATATTTAATATTTAATATTTAATATTTAATATTTAATATTTAATATTTAATACTATTTACTTTATAAATATATTTATTTTTTATTTAATTATATTTATATAAAATTATTTTAAAAATCAATATTAATTATTATTAAATAATAATTATTCATATATATTTTATATACATTTTTTAAACGGAAATTTATATTTTTCTAGTATTTTATATATAATGTTTTTTTTTTAAAAAAAAAAATTATTTAATCTTATTTATATTATAATATTATAAAAATATATAAATAAAATAAAATGTTATTTAAATTTAAATCAGAAAAAAATTTTAACTATTCTTCTATACCAGGTTTTTCATCTCCACATTAAAATAATTAATAATTAACTGTTATTAAAAAAGGTTTTAAATATATCATTTATTAAATTTTTGTTTTATTTAACAAATAAAATTAATAAGTATAGCAATATAATATCCTCCGAATTATCTTAGTTACAAAAGTTAATCATAGAAATAATAAAAAATATAAGATATTGAAAACAAATAACCAAGAAACAAAAATTTATAAACAAAGCTTGAAAAATAACACATAACGATAATTTTCAGAAATTTTTGACTTTTTAAGATGAGACTTAAATATAAAAAACTAATGAAGAAATAGTATCACCTTTATAAAAAGAGAATATTATAAAATAAAATATCAATAAAATAAAAGTTCACCTTAATAACACAATAAATATAATTTTATAAAATAAAAAAAAAAAAAAAAAGAAGAAGAAAAAAAAAATTAAAACTTCCAAAATTACATTAATAAAATAATAATTCTTTAGAAATAAGCAAACCCTAAATTTAAAAAGAATAATAAATTTCTAATATATAATCTTAAAAAAATAATACCGAATAAATATTTAAAGTATATTATAAATATATACATATTTTATATATATAAAAAACAGTTCTATATAGGAGAAGGTAATAATAGTGAAAGAATTCGAAAAGTTTTAAACAATAGAACATATTGGACTGAAATAAAAGACAAATAGAGTCCTTTTATAAATTTTAAATGGTAATAATCTACAATAGGTTATAATTTTAACTCCTCAAATGACTAAAGCTAATTTAAATAAATGCTCAATCATTTTGAATTTCATCGTGAAATATCTAATAAATAAAATTTAATAAAAAATCTTATTTAACTTGCTGATATTTTTAAAATCAATATTTTCGAAAATATAACTCCTGTTACATATATAATAGATTTTAAAGTATATTTTTTTTGTTATAAAAATATATATAAATATATAAAAATATATTTATTTTTATTTAAATATATTTATATTTATATATATATATTAGTATATTTATTTTATTTAAAAAAAGGATGAATATTGTGAATCATTTTTAAATAATTTTTTAAAATTTTATGAAAATAATATTCCGAATTCATTAAGAAAAAAATTAAAAAATGATTAAAATATAACAAATATTAGAAAAATTTTAAAATATTAATAAAATATATATGGAATATATCCTACTGATAAAATACTAAATCACATATATTTAAAATAAGTACTCCATGATACTTTTTTGGATAAGCTTTATTCATCTTATTTGTGGATATTAAAACCTACTTTTTTAAATAGAGGAAGGGGTATACATATGTTTAATTCTCTTTAATAATTAGAAAAAATAATAAATAATTATATAGAAGGTTTCGAAGAATAGCCTTTAGTTAAAAATAATTATTCAACTGCATTTTTTCAAATAGTAGATAAATAAGAAGAAGAACAATTAGAAAATACGAACAAAATCATAAATAATAAATAATAATAAAATAACAATTAAAAAAAAAAAATATTACTAAAAGCAGATCAGTTTATTATATAAAAATATATAGAAAAACCTCTTCTTATCAATAATAGAAAATTCGATATTAGAATTTGGGTTTTATTAACACATGAGCTAGACATATATATTTTTAGGTATTTATATATATGTATATAATATAATATATAAATATATATATATATATATATAATTATATATATATTTTATAATAAAAAAAATATTTGCATATAGTGAAGGATATATAAGATTATCAAGCTCTGAATTTTCATTAAGAGAAAATTAAATAGAAAATTAATTTATTCACTTGACGAATAATGCTATTTAGAAATATAGTGATAAATATGGACAATTCGAAAATGGAAATATGTGGACTATGGATTAATTATATAATTATTTATATGAATAAAATAAAGTCAACCCATCTTAATATTACAAAAACAAAATAATATAGAAAATTTAAAATATAGTCTTAATTACACTATCTTCAGTTAAAAAATATATGATTCTTCGTGAAAAAAAACACTGTTTTGAAATTTTCGGTTATGATTTTTTAGTTGATTAAGATATAAATACATGGCTTTTAGAAATAAACACTAATCCAGCTATAGATGAATGTTCAAATATTTTGAAAACTTTAGTTCCAAGAATGATAGGTATAAAAATTTTATATTTTTATTTTGTAAAGAATAAATATAAGATGATGCTTTTAAATTAACAGTTGATAAAATTTTTCAAAAATAAAATGAAAAATAAGAGAACGAAAATAAAATTTATTTTCCTATAAATGGTTATAAAGATGATTTTAATTTATGGTAAATATATATATCAATTATATTATTTTTATTTATTAATTAAAGGGAGCATTTAGGTAATATTAAAGAAATAAATAATACTTTAATAAAGAAATATTTCAATTAATTAAAACAAATTAAAAATTGAAAAAATAATTGGATAAATGACTAATATATATATATATATATATATATATATATATATATATATATATATATAATATAATTAAACAATATAAAATAAATATCTAATTTTTCTTTATTTTATAATTTATACATTATATATTTATTTAATTATTTGATATAAATCTTCCTTATAAAGAATTTATCCATAAAATAATTAATTTTTTAATTTTATATATAGTATTTTTTAGTATTAACTAATAATAAAATATATTATTAATTTTTTTCTAATAAAATCATTAAGTAACGACATAATAATATTTTTATATGTTTCATCATGGAAAATTGAAAAATAACGTAATTTAAATAAATAAAAATATTAAAAAAATTTTTAATGGAAACATTTGATAAATAAGTTTTTTTTTTTATATAAAAATATTTAATATGAAAAATTTTTTGAAATGTATTAATGTATGAGTAGAACTAAAATAATTAGTAATCAAACTACAACAATAAAATAATAGATTTTAATAATTTATTATAAATTATTTTTTATATTATATTAAATATATAAAATTAATAATGAAAATCATTAAGATATCTATAATTTTGTGCAATTGTACATTTTAAAAACTTATGAATATATAATTAATAAAAAATTACCATTAAACTTCTTAATTATTATTTTAAATTTTAAATATATATAAATAAAATTCTAAGTTAAAAAATTATATATTTAAAATTTATAAGGAAAGAAAATTGATAAAAAACATAATAAAATATTGAATAAAAACAAATAAAAAATATTAAAATACAAAATATCATATATATATATATATATATATAATTAAAAATATGTGTATAAATATTTATAAATTTATTTGTAAAATATAAATATATATTAAAATATATATATATATATATAATATACAAAAATAATATAGTAATTATTTTGTATATATAATCAGTAGATATTTTATGTTTAGAAATATTAAAATTATAATAAAATAAATTATTATGATTTATAAATATATATTTATCTTAATATTATATAAAAAAAAAAATTCATTAAATGATTTTTATATTTAAAATTAACTGCTATCACTTCTATTTATTTTATGTTTTTTAATTTTTTAAATATTATTTTAAAATTAAGTTTTTAATGTAAGAGAAATTTAAATTTATTTTATATCAATAAATAATTTATATTATTAATACACCTATTAATAAAAAAATTAATGATTATATTATTTAAAATAAATATTTATTTGGCATATCTTACATTTTTGACTCTAATAAATTATATATAAAAAAAAAAAAAATAATAAGAATATTATATTTTAATAAATATGTATATATATATATATATATATATATATATATATATATATATATATATATTTAATACTTTTTTTATACATATATATTTTTTTTACTTGCTTTTTATTAATATTCTTATTTATATTTTTATATTTTTTCTAAATATTATTAATTTTATAAATTTTCCTATTCTTTTTCTTTTTCTTATTTTATTTAATTTTTTTTTTTTATTTCATTTTTTCTTTCTTAATAATTATCATTGTTTGTTTTCTTTTTTTTTAAATTTTTTCATATAGTTTATATATAATATATTTTTATTATTACTTTTTTGTATTCCTATATAGTACTTAAATTTGTATTATCAATATTTAAATTATCTAATATATTATCGAATTTTTTTTATATTCTTATTTAAAAAAATAATATTTAATGAATAATTAATATATAAATATAAAAACTCTTCTTCCTAATTGAAGTTATTATGTTATTTATTTTCATTCTTTAACTTTTTTTTTAATTGATAATTTTTTAATATATTTTTAAAATATAAATACATTATATTTATTATATTATTCAATATTAGTATTTTATTCAGTAACTAATATATTCTAGCTATTAGATTAAACTAATTAATCTTATTAAATTTATTATTAGTCTTATTATAAATATTAATAATCTAAATTTTGTTTAGGCTTTTATTATAAAAAAGTAACTTATTATTATTATAATTTTAAAGGAATTTGATATTATTATTTTTAAGGAATTTTTTATTATTATAAAGGAATTTATTATTAATAATTAACATTTTATTTTAAATGTATTCTCTACTAATACTGAGGCATTGAATTTTAATTAAATTAATATAATTAAAACGGTTGTTTTATTTATTATTATTAACTATTTATACTATTATTTTAAAAAGAATATGATTACTAATAAATACTTTAATTAATATTATGATTTAGTTATTTCTTTATATATGGTCTATATCCATCTTAAGAAAATTCTTTTTTCTAAGGACTACAATAACTATATAATAATGAAAAATTATTATCATTTTGAAAAGATTTTTATCTTAAATCATTATTTCTTGATTAGTAAAGCTTATTTTATTCAAAAGTATTCTTTTTTATATTAAATGAATAAATATAATATAAAAAAACTCTTTTTTTAAAAAAAAATTACTTATGATTAAGGTTATATATAGTTTTTAATTAAACAAGGAGAAGTTTACAAATACATTTTTATTTTATTTTTGAAAAAAAAAAAAAAAAAACATATAGATATATTTTAAATTTATATATAAAAAAAGTATAACTAATTAATTTTTTTTTTAAAAGAAATAAACAAAAAAAACACATGAGACCATAAACTTCACTTCCCAATTAATCCTAACCCTAACCCCAATAAACAATTCCTACTCCAAATTCTTTAGTAAAATACGCTAGTGCGGTTTTAGTATCCACTGGTGGTAAATAAATCAACGAAAAGAGCAAATAATATACAAATAATGTAACAAATCATTAAACAGAGGCTATACTGAATAGTATTTTACCGCCTCGTGAATATATAATGAATAAAAAATAATTATGGATATAAAAAGTAAGTGCAACACCTGCAACTAAATCAGATGTATTAGAACTAGTTAATAATCTAGATAAAAGATTATAATAAAGAAGTGCTAAATAATGCGGACAATGTCCAATAAGAGAAGAATTATATGCTTAATGTTTTGATGAATTAATTAGATAAATCACTATTAATTGTTCAGAAAGAGGTTTATTATTATTAAGAATAAGGGATGAAATTAAATATACAATTTAAGCATATTAGACATTATATGAAAGTGCAACTGCTTATGGAATGAGGAAATACTTAATCGCAGATACTAGAAAAAGTGATATGGATATATATGTAAAATAATTAGATTAATAATGTACTAATTTATAGTCTCAAGTTGATTCTTTAGAATAAAATATAAAAGAAATGGAATCTAATTTTAATTTATAAAAATAAAAATAAGATAAATAGCATTAAGAAGAAGTATAAGAAATTAAAAAAATAAATCAAAAATATAAATTAGATTTATAAAAATTACTCTCAGGAAATGATTAAAAAAGATGAATAAAATAAAAAAATGTATATGAATAAATAATTATATATAAAAATAAAAATATAAATAAATTAATTTATATAAAAATATTAATATAAATAAATTATTATATATATATTTATATATAAATATATATATATATATATATATATATATATATACATATACATCTTATATTTATGTACTTTTATTTATATTTATATCTATTTTTATATTATTATTTATTTTATTTTTATTTTTATTTTTTATATTTTTTATTTTATTTATCCTTATAAATATTTGCTTAATATATAAAGTTGTTTTTAAATTTAATTTAATCCACAAATAAAAATAAAAAAAAAATATGAAAATAATAAAACTTAAAAAAATTGAATTAGTTTCATTAATTTTAATATTTATATCATTCTTATATACAATATTACAAATAATCTCATTTTTCTTTATACCTTAATTACCTCTTGACCACTAATATGTAATCGATAACTGGAAAAAACATCCAATAACCTAAATATATAGAAGTACCTAAAAATGTATTGAATATCTAATAAACTATGAATATAAAGGCACATATGAAGGTTGTGATTGTACAAGTGCCTTCAATCTCCTATATAAAGGTAACCTTTATAAAGGTGAATGCACGAAATAGATGATTTAGGCAAATTGCAAGAAGATAGCATCAATTCCTGAGAAAATATTTAATTTCTGGAATATTGATTCTGACCTTTTTTCCCTTTGTACTGACCGATCTTCTGTAAACTATCTGACTTAAGACTGTTCTAATATAAATTTCAAGGAATGTGAAGGACTGTAACCATTTTGTGTTCCAAAAGAGGAGATCTGTCCTATAAACTCAGTGAAATTCGGTTAAGAAATCCTAGTAGACTACGAACAATTAATTTAATTAAACGGAAACTACATATTTTTTAGCCGTAAAAATAAATAAAATATACCTATAATTGAAGGAATAGTCTCTGAAGGGGAAGGCGTTTGTAAATATTATAAAAGTGAAAAAAATAAAAACTTAAAAAATGATTATTTTTTAAATAGAGAGGAAAAAATAAACTGTTAAAAAGACTAAATTGACAATTAGTTTTAACTAATTAAAAAGGAAACATAAGAAAACTTTTTTACAGCAAATTAATATTATAATTTAATTAAAAAATTACCAGAATATGAATATTCTTAAAAAGATTTCTTATATGGACTTTATGTTAGAAGTTATGATTATTGGAAAAATGATATTTATTGTTAAAATCTAAAAAACAACTTCTTCTATTTACAAAAAAAAGCACAAATTATTCAATAAATGTGGATTGCTAATATTATTTTGGCTTTTATTTTATTCATTTTTTATAGTCTTTTTTGCGGATTTTTAAGAGTTTATAAAGGAATACTTATTACTAATTTTTTTGCGTTTGTAGTTATTATAATACTTATTTTGGTACATTTTATTGTAAATATTACGAATTTGATACTTATTTCTGTACTTTTAGGCGATTTGTAATAAATGATTACATATTAATGCTCTAATAGTAATACAAATTAATATTTGGAGACTTTTTATGGCTAAATAAAAGCTATAAATTTGGGTTTTTGTATATTTTAATTACTATTGAATTTATTATTTATTTTTTGTTGTTTTTTTTACAGATAGCTAATTTTTAAATTGAACTTTTCATTTATTTTAATGTATTTGTAAAGGAGAAAAATTCATTCGTAGATGAAAAGCCAAAAAATACAATCTCCAGAAACAGTGGCTGATGATATAATAAATATTAATAAAAAAAAAAAAAATGAAGAGAATAAAAAAGTATAATTTATTGCGGAAATAAACACAACTAGATATTAAAATGCAAACTATGATATAATAAAAAAATAATCAACAGAAGAAAATAGAAATTAATTGATTAGATAGGGAATAAATAATAAATAAGAAAGTTTATAAAAAATGAAATTTTATTCATAAGCTAATCTTGAAAAATTTCATGATGTGTAAAATATGTAAAATATAAATGAATATGAAAATGGTATTTAAATTGATGATCTTATAAATAAAAATATGAAAGAAGATTTTTAAAAAGAAAATATTAATGATAATAAAAATAATATTAATAATAATAATGATAATCTTAAAATAAATTAATTAGAAGAAAAAAATAAAAATTAAGAAAATAATAATCTTTAATAAAGTGCATTTAATGATCAAAATAAACTTAATAATAATAATAATATTTAAAGAATCGGAAGTTATTAACTAGATGTATAAAATAAAAATAATTCTAAAAATTCTAAATTTTATAAAGGAGTTGATTAAAATTTCAAAAAACAAATTCCTTTAACTGATCTATAATTTATTCTAAAAGGAGATAAAAAAACTGAATAAAATAAATAACCTAAAAATATAAAATCAATGTATTAATTAGAAAATTAAAATAAAACATTTGTAATATTAGATTATAATTTTAATGGCGAAGAAAATGGCATAAACTAAAACAAATAGAATTAATTTTAATAATGAAGTATTAAAATTAATATTAATTTGAAAAATATTTTAAAAATTTATTATGATTAAAAAATATAAAAAATTAAATATTATAATATGGAAGTATAAAAGTAATTATATGATATTTTTTATTTGTTAATATAAATTTTTTATATTTATAAAAATATTATATACATAACAATATTTAATTTTATATTTTTATCTTTATAAATTTATGTTTATATTATAATAATTTTTTAATATAAAAAAATTTATATATTTAAATAAAGTATTTTTAACTAAATTATTAATTAATAAAAGAAATTTTTTTTTTAAAAAAATAAAAAACAAAAAAAATATATTAAATTGTATTTATTTACTAAATAAAAGAATATAATTATCCTTTAAACAATTATTTTTATATATTTAATTATAAAATATTAAAATTTTTTTTTATTATTAATTTAAATTTATAATCAAAAAATATAATCAATAATACATAAAATTAAATAACATACATACATATATATATTTCGATACAAAATTATATAAATATATATTTTATTTTTAGAAAAATAAAAATCATAAAACAAAAAAACAAAAATAAATTAAAAAAAATAATATTAATATAAATAAAAAAACAAAATTAAATTAAATTAAAAAAAAACAAAAAATGTTTGACAATACACCTATAAAACAATCCTTATAATTTTTAATTTTATGTACAATATACTGCCTTTAAGGTCCAGTATTTAATGCAATGCCTTTCTTATATTATCGAGCTCCATTAGAATGTAAAATCAACGATGAATGGCACTCATGTTCTGAATAATAAATTTGTGAAAACAATTTTGAATTTAGATGGTAAGATGTAGGCGGAATGAGAAGTATATCAATGGATTTTAATCTAATTTGTGAATAGAAACTACTCGAAGCATCAATAATGGCAGTTGGTACATTCGGATGTGTAGTAGCTTTTTTATTTGCCGTCCTATATGAAATTCCCCGCCATTTAAAATTTTACTCATTATTCATTCTTTTTTTTATAGAATCATTATTTTTAATATCTATCTAATTTATCCATAATTCTGTAAACTGGTTAATGCTTGTACTTTTTATTTGGAACTTTACTTATGGTTATTTATATTCTTTAATATTTTCTTTCTGTTCTGAAGCCTATTCTGAGTCTATAAAAGAGCAATCTGTTGGTATTTTAAATATATTCTGGCCTGGTGGAGCCGTTGCTTTTATTTTCTATGCCTAAGTAGACGCAAACTGGGTAAACCACATAGTTTATTTCTGTGGTTATCCCATATTCTTCCTTAACATTGCCTTTTTTTTACTTAAATCTCAAAAACCTCCTTAAAATGACCTCTAGTAGCCAATCACTGACGCAAATCTTAATATCGACTGTCCTTACAAAGAAGCCCGTGAAAATCAAAGGAACTTCATTTAAGATCTCCTTGAAAAGTTCAAGCTCCTCAAAAGCGATCCAGCATAGTTAAAAAACAGCATCATTTTTATGACTGTTTTCATCCTTGCCTAACTCTCCTATGCTTGTCCATTTATAGCCTTCAATAGTCTAGGCGGAAACCTCTAAAACAATGTCATGGCAAGTATTCTATGTGATTTTGCAGGGTCATTTGTAGCTTATTATTTACTTTTGAAATTTAAAGTAATGGATGTTTTGAGATATAATACTCTAATTATAGGTATAGTCTAGACTTGTACTTTTTTTATTAGTAGTGAAGATTTCTATCTTTAGTTTTTGAATATTATGATAACTAAATTAAGTAATAGATTGTCTTTTCCTACACTTATTACATTACTACCTTTTATTTTAAAGCCTTAATTTAATTAATTAGCGTTTTCGTTGACAAATTTAATAGCTATTTTCCTTTAGACTTTTATTGCTTTTTATAAATATGCAATGGAATAAATGGGAATTAATATTTTCTTTGGAGTTGGTATATTAACATTATTATTTTCTTTCGTACTTAAAAAATTGGTACTTATTTAATAAGAACCTCCTAAAGAAATGCCTTTACATAAACTTTCTTAAATGAAAAAATCAAGTTTTGCTAATTCAAGAAAATAATCAGATTATATCATTGAATAAGTATTGAGAAAATCTTCTTTTATTTCTTAATAAATTGGGTTCTATACACTAGATAAAACTTCAGCAACATATGATAAAATGTTTAATATGAATACTAAATAAGAACTTGAGATTATTAAGGAAGAACATTGATATTTTTTTATTAATTATTTATAAATTTTTGGTTAATTGATACATATTTATTTATTTTTTTATGATATTTCTTTTTTTATTATAATTAATAATTCTAAATATTAACTTTAAAGGTTTTTATATAAATTTAATTTTTTAGTTTTATTAATTAAAAAAAAATTATTAAATTATATAAAATTATTTATTTAAATATTAAAAATGATTAAATAAATATAAGATGAAAGTATTAATTTTAATATTTTATTATATTATAATAATATAAATAAAAATAATTAATCTTTTTATATATATAAATATGATATTAAATATATATATATATTTTTATTATCTTTATTTAATATAATTATATACTTTTATTTTATATAATAATTATCAAATTTAAATTCTATATTCTAAAATATATACCATCTTTTTTTTTATTATAATTTTTTTAATTTATATCTTTAAAATTAAAATAATATTAATTATTTATAGATTATTAAATTTATTATTATCTATTTCTAAATATATTAAATAATCATTTTAATATATAATTAAATTATTTATATTTTTTTTTGCTTTTGTTTTTAATTAAATTATGTGTATCATTTTAATTATTGTTTTTTTATTTAAATTTCTATTTTTTCTTTTATTTTCTTTTATTATATTAAATTCCTTATCATTTTTTATTCTCAATCTTTTTTTTAATAAATTGTACCCTTACATATATTTATATTTAAGTATATTTATTATTATTTTAAATTCAAAATATTATTTAATATATTTTTTTATTCATAATAAAAATATTTATATTAAAATTTTTATATCAAAATTCTTATTTTTAAAATAATTTTTAAAATATATAATTTTAAATCTTTTTAAATTTTAATTAAATATTCTTAAACTCGTACTACCACTTATTATCCGTAAATTTAATTAGTTTTATTATTTTTTAAAGAAATTAATTAAAAAATAAAAAAAAAATTAATAATTTTATGATTTTGATTATAAATTAAATTATCTAGTTTTTTAATAAAATAATAAAAAATCTGCTTTTTAGATTGATTTTGATAAAAATAAAGATTTTTTTAGAAATAAAAAATTATTGGAAGTGATGAGAGAATATAAATAAGATTAATTAATTATTTAATTTAATTTAAATATATATTTATTTTGTAAAGTATAAGATAATTTAAGTCAGTCTATATTATAATTAAAATAAATAAAAATAAAGTAAAAATTCAAAATTTAAATTTTAAATCTTTAATAAGAAGATGAATGGTGATTTTTTCTAAAAGCATAAAAATTAAATATATATATATATATATATATATATATATATATATACATATATATAATTTAAAAATTTTTAAAATTCAATATAAATTTATATTATTTTGAAAAACAAGATTAAATTTAATATAGTCTAAATATTCAAAATAAAAATTATTAACTTTTTAAATAAATTATAATTTAAATCTATTTTATTTAAATAATATCTTTAATTTTTTTAAAAAATAATAATAAATGCATATAATTATAAGATATTTTATTTTTAAACTATAATTAAACTTAAATATATCTAAAAATTCTATAAATGAGTTTTATAATAAAACATAGAAAACCTTATAATAGAATATAATAAAAAGTCTTATAAAAATAAAAATATTAATTATAAAGGTAAATATAAATCTTAGTTTTTATAAAAATTAAATATATATATATATATATATATTTATTATATTATGAACCAAAATTATTATCTCTAATATTTTTAGTTATTTAAAATACTTATTATGTATAATATAACTAGATTTATAAAATATTTTATTTTATTATATATATATATATATATGAATATATTAAAGTTATATTTATATTTTATATCTATAAATGACTGAGTCGGAGAAAAAATAATAAAGTTATTTAAATAATTAAAATATTATGAAAATATAATAAAAAAAACAATAAAGATTCTAAATAATTTTTTATATATAAATAAAAAAAAGTAAATAATTTTAAAAATTAGGAGAATAAAATATATATTATGTCCAAAAAATTAATAGAAATAAATATAAATAATAATAAATGATAAAATATAAAATACAATAATAATATAATATATATAATTTTTCTAATATATAATATTTTTTAAATTCTTAATATAATTAAAAGATAAATATATAAATATATTAATTAAAATATAAAAAACAATTACATATTAAGAGCATTTTTAATTAATTTAAAAATTATGATATATATATTAAATATATTTTATTTGTTTCATATATATATATATTATATATATATATATTTATATATATGTATTACTATAAATTTAAAATTAATTTTTATTTTATTTTTAAAAATAAATTTAAATTTTTAAATATTTTAATAATCGTTTATTATTTTCTAATAAATTATATTTTTTGTTTGATTTATTTAGTCAATTAAAAGGAAAGAAACATAATTTTTTCGTTATAATATAATAAAGTATTTACTATATTATATTTATCTATTTAAATTTTTATAAAATATTAAAAAACTAAATATGTTAAATAACTTTTTTTTCTAATAATAAATATTAAACTAATATATTTAACCTTAAAATAACTATTAAAATCTCAAATATAATTATTAAAATATATCAACATATATTTATAATTTATACTTAATTTAATAAAAAGCATCATATGTAATATATTTACTATTATTTTTAAAAATATAAAACTAATAATATTTATAGGAAGAAAGTATTATAAAGAAAAGAATAAAATGTTATGATGACCCTATAAAATACTAATAATGTTTAGAAAAGATTGACAACGAATAAATAAAAGAAAATACATATAATTAAGTAAATAATTTATATTTTATTTATAAATTTACATTAATTTAAAAAAAGAAACTAAAATAATGCATATTATTATGTTAATAAAATGTTATGAATAATGATTGTTAAAATATATGTGATAGTATGAATTAAAAATAGACTAACTGAATAATATATAAGAAGCATATATATATTTTAATATTTAACATATTTAATTATATATTAATGATTAATAATAAAATAATATAAATATTTTTTTAGCAAAAATATTATAAAGAAAATTTAATAAATATTAAATATTTTTGTTTTTATAAAAGGAAAAAACATAATTGTATTTTATATTAAAAATTTTATTTTTTTAAATATTTTTTAAAAAAATATATTATTTTTCTATCTAGTTTTTTATTAAAAAGAATCAAAAATTGAATATTAAATATTGTAAATTAATATATATATATATAAATTAATATTAAAATAAACAAGATTATATAAATTTAATTAAATAGTAATATATATAAATGTTATATATATATATATTAATATATATATATAAATATTTATTTATATATATATATCTAATTTTTTTTTTTCGAATTGAAATATAATATCATAAAAATTAAGGTCTTAATTTATTTATTTCTTCATTATTTTCTGGATTTATTTCTTTAAAAACAATTCTTTTATACAAAAATGTTAAAAATATTAATAAATAATTATAAATTACAAGTCTTTATAATCGTTTTTCATTTTTTTTTCTAGATTAATAATCTTTTCTCTTTTTTAATTTCCAACCGTATCATATAAAAAATTAAACTCAATAATATTTTAAATGATATCATCTTTTTATAATTAATAAATAACAATATTTAATCCTAAATGATTAATTTCTGCTAAAAGAGCCTAATTATCTTCTATAATACTTTATTATCTTTATTTTATATATAAATAAATACAAATGAATCAAACAAAAATAACTTAAATCCAAAATCCTAAAATAATTTAGAAGGATTATTTTACGCGTATGCTTTTACATATGAATATTCTTAAAAACTTTAATAATTTTTTTCTTTGGAAGATATATGTTCAACTACACTATAAATAAAAATATTTAATAACAATAATAAAAAAAAAAATAATAATAATAATAATAATAATAATAATAATAATAATAATAATAATTATAATAATTATAATAATAATATATTTAATAATTATATATATACTAATCATTATTTGATATTATATTATTTTTTTAATCTAATTTTTATATTTAATAAATTCTAACTCCATTTCCATATATACTTAATTTATCGCATTCTTTTTTAAGTAATTATTCTCTATAATTTATATGGGAAAAAACACAGTCTAAAAGTTAACTAAATCTAATTATAAATATATCTCTATTTTCTTATTTCTCGAAAATACCGAATAAAATTCTTTTATATTATTCACATTTTTATTTTTTGTTTATCATCTTTTTTATTTTTATATTTTGAATATATATAATTTCACTTTATAAATTATTTTATATATGATTTATATATATTAAAGAATTTCTATATATATATATATATATATATATATATATATATATATATATATATATATATATATAATTAATATCAAATCTTTTTTAATCAATAATTCACTCTTTTATACTCTAGATATATTAATTATCATAAATTTAAATGTGTATATTTTTTTTAAATTAAATTTTTTGTCCCACCTTAGTTTGGCAATATAATATGAATTGCTTCGTATATTTTTAACTAACCTTTTCATTATTTTTAAAGTAAATTTACATTTTTGAATTAAATTTTATTAGAAATCATAATAATCTTTCTTCAATAAAGTCTATAAATGATTTTGGAGTTTTTAAATAAATATATGGGATGTTAATTATTATTTTATTATATCTCTTTATGATAGAAAAATAAGTAACTTTATATAAAAATTTATTAAAATGTATAAGAAAATTTAATCATTTAATAGATTTTAAAGTTTAAAAAATATATTTTTTTTAATATATAGAGAGAATAAAGTATTTTTTTTTTGAAATTTTTAAATATTCTCAAAAACATAAAATATTAAAAAGTAATATTTATTTATATAATAAATAATATTATAGATGGCTATAATATATTATGATATGTATTTATATTTATTATATATATTAATTAAATTAAAAAGTAATCGAAAATAAATATATAATTTTTATGAATAAAGTGTCTATATATTCAAGTTTTTTATAAAAAAAATATCTATAGCATTTAAATATTCTAATATTTTAAATAAAAAACCTTATATAGAATAAATATTTTAGAATTCAGTATAAAATATAAAGAGAAGTTGATATTTTAAATCGAAAAAAAAAGATATTCATTAATATTTATAAAATATTTTTTAAGAAATAAGATCTTAAATTTGAACAATAAAAAAAGAGCAATGTTATAGATAGAAAAAAATGATTATATGATTTATTATATAATAAAGAAATATTTCCTCCAGATTAAATATTAACTAAAGTATAATATTTTTATTTAAATTTTTAGAGATTAAAATATAAATACATATATATATATAAAAAAAGAAAATATATTTATAAATATATATATATATATATATATATATTTATAATTTATATATAAATCATATTTAATTCAATAAATTATTCATAATTATTTTGAATTCATCAAATTCGATTTCTCCATCTTTATTTATATCGATTTCTTCTATAATTTTTTTCAATTTACTTTCAATAAATATTTTTCTCTCTTCCTTAGTGTCTAAATTTAGTATTTTTAAAATTTCATCGACTGTAATTTTTCCATTTCCGTCTTTATCGAAAATATTAAAAGCTTCTAAATACATTTCCTATGAATATTTTTCATTATACATTAACATACATGTTATGAATTCTTCATAATTAATCCCCACCATTTATTCATCTAATATATACTAATTTTTATTATCTTCTACCAAAAAGTCTTTATATAGTGATTAAATACATATTTTTTTAATATTTTCTAAAAACATTTCATCTTTTCCAAATATTTCCTAAAATCCTTCCAAAAGTTCACCAAAAGATAACACTCCATTCTTATCTTTATCCAATTTTTGAAAAATCACTATATATTTTCCTTTATTTTCCTTCGAAATTATATGATTCCCTATTAAAGCTCCCACAGTCTTTTAAAAAGTTGAAAATTGTTAATATTTAACCAAAGAATTATAGCTTTCAATTAAGTCTTTTTCTCAATTTATTCTTCTTTTACTTATTTTTTAAACCATTCATGTTTTAGTCCTTCTTCTGCCGAAATTCTTTATTTAGGGTTTTATTATAGCATTTTATATATTAAATCTTTCCCTTCCTCAGAAATATCTTTCCAACATTAATACTAAAACTAAGGCTTAAAATTTCGTATTTATTCGAATATTTCTCCCTAAGACTGCCCAGTAATTGGAGGAGAACCTTAAATAAGTGAATATAAGACCACACCTAGGCTCCATATATCCACTAGTTCATCATAATCTTATTTAATAATGATTTCTGGGGCTAAATAATGCAAACTACCACAGATTTATTTCAATTTTTTGTCCTATATTTGCTCTGCGAGACCCCAATCAATTAGTTTTACCACAAAATCGTCGTTTATATAATCGAGCATAATATTTTCTGGTTTAACGTCCCTATGGACTATTTTTTAAGAATGGGCAACAGCTAAAGCAGCCAAAACATCTTGAGCAATTTTGCAAGTTTCCTATTCTGTAAATGAGCCTTTTTTTATTATGGAATCAAATAAATTTTATCCATAACAAATTTCGCTTATAACATATAAAAAATGATAATCTTCGAAATATTCATATATTTTTAATATATTAGGATGATCTAATTTCTATAAAATCTGAATTTCTTTCTTTACTGACATTTTTTCTTATTTTTTAATAATTTTTAAGGCTCTTTTTTCTCCAGTTCTCTTTTATTTGACTAAGCTTACAGTGCCAAATCCTCCTTTACCTAACATAATTATGTTTTTTTGGTATTTTCTTCTTTTAATTAAACATATCTTCATATTCGTCATTATATTTGCCAGGTTTTTATAATATTTGAATAATAGAATTCGGTTTATATATGTTATTGTGTTTTTTGTTATTATTTCCATTTAATTTTATATATATATATATATATGATTTTTTGTTTTATTTATAATAAATTAATTAATTTTTTTTTTTTTTATAAGCAAAAAAAAATTATTATTATTTTTTACTTTTAATCCATATGTTCCCTTTTTTTTTTTTTTCTTTTTCTTTTTTTATATCATTTTATTTAATATATATATATATGTAATATTAATTTATTATTAATAATTTTTAGTATAAAAATATATATAAATTAAAGATATCTTAAAAATAATAATATGTAATTAAAAAAATACACATAAATAAGATTCTTTAGTACCACATTGGCCTAAATAACCTAATAAATAAAAGAATAAGATTAAAAATACAAATAAACTTCTATATAACGTCCAGCCAAATAATTCGAAGAATTTCTAATATTAAAACAATTAAACATAGATTATATAAATACATTGAAAAATCGTGAAAAATAAGATTTTAAATATTCTTCTAATATACTATATGACTCATATTATATAAAAAAATTTCCATATGAAATTTATTCTTATTATTTATTTATTAATTAATTAAAGATTTCATTAAGTATATCTCTATCTTTATTAAGTTTATTATATATGAAATATTAATTTTTGGCTTTAATTCCTTTTTATTATTCATATAAATTCTTAAGACTACCCTTAAATAAGAATTCATTTAAGAAAAATTTTATTTAAAAAATAGAATTCGATATTCTAAATAAAGAATAAATTAAAATTTTTATTAACTCAGATTAAAAAAAAGCCTTAGTTTTTGACAGAAAAAATATAACAATAACCGAAATAAAAAGATTATAAAATAAAATAATAAATAATAAAGAAGACTTATTTGATTTAATTAATAATAATTGTTAATATAATTTAAAAATCCTAATTTAACTTTCGTTTTATAAGGAAATGATATAAATAATAGCTTTTATGAAAATCTATATTTAATTATACCGACTGATGATAAGGAAAATTAAACTATAGTATAAAATTATAACGTTTTATTTGCAGCATTGAATTGTTTTGATATAAATTAAATTTAATATGTGTAAAAAACTAAAAATGAAAGTAATAATTGAAATAAAAAATTATATATATATTAGTTTTAAAATAATTTAAATACATATTAATTTATAATTAATTTAATTATATATTTACATAGATAATATTTAAATATATATAATTATATATAATTAATTATATATTTATATATCTATTTATATATATATATTTTTTTTTAACTACTTTAAAAATAATAACTTTCATATATATAATATTATATATTTTTTTAATATAAAAAATTTCAATTTATTATAAACATTTAATTTTAATAAAAATGACTTGAAAGGTTTTATATAAGTCCACTTTCAATTCTTGGTTATTCTTTTTATAATATTAAATTCCAATCTATACCTTTTAAATATTTTAACATAAATATTACTTCACTTTAATCACTAATACATAAAGCTTTATTAGCCACAATTTTAAGTGAATTAACAATTGCTCTATATATAAAAATCCATCCTTCGAAAATAATACCATTAATAACAAAATGCTAATATGAAAAATTAAAATTAATAAATTAAATATATAAATAAATATATATATATATATATAAATATAAATTTATATAATATATATATCTATTTATTTATATATATTTATTTTTATAATTTATATTTTAATTATATACATTACTGAAAATTCTAAAGGTATTACATTAGTCATAAAAACTAAAAGCCATTCTTAAATTATCATTTATATAGTGATTTCTAATTTATTTAAAATATTTATAACTTCATTACAATGTATAATTATGAGTACTTCTATAATTTTTATATGTCTTTTTAAATCTAAAAACCCTTATCTTAATAAATCTTCTAATTTTAATTTTCTACTTATATAAATTAATAATTCAAATGCCATTTTTTCTTCTGCATGCCATAATAAATACCCTACAACTAAATTTAATCCCTAAACATACCCTTATAATAATAATATATATATCATAATACTAAATAAAATACCAATCTCAGGCACATATTATGCAAATTTGACTAAAATATTCATCAAATTTTACTAACTTTACGCAGTTTAAAAAAATTCATAATTTTAAAAAGTCCTAACTATATCTTTTTAGATTAACTTTAAAATTCTTACATCTAATTAACTTAAATTCATATTAATATTTTCCTTTAAATTTGCAATTTGATTCCATTTCCTGACCCTATAACATGAATTTAACACATATAAATTCCCATCGCATGTACAATTTTTCCTTGGCTATTTATTTTTATGTGTAATACTTAGCTAAATTTACTTTTCCCTCGACATAAATGTACTCGGTATATTTTTTTTTAAATTAAAATCCTCAAAAACCTCATTATTTTCCTAAAAAAAGTTATTTACTTTTTGAATTTCAGACATTGTAATCTCACTTACCTATTATAATTTGCTTAAATTAGAATTCATTTAATTGGGGTTTTATTATTCATAAGGTACTGAATAATCTTCGTCTTTTTAAGGACTTTATTTTAATGTCTATAGAGTAGTTTTAGAGTCTTTTTACTTAAAAAAGAAGAATAATTTATAACTGTATATGTTTTTGTAGATTTTTGGCTTATATTTTCTTAATTGTTTTAATTTGAAACTAAAGGAGGATTTTATACTAGTTTTACTTATTTTTTTGGAGATTTTTGTATAGTCATTTTTTCGTTTTTTTATAATTATATTTATGATTTAAATGGTTTACTACAAAATATACGGGAAAATGAATTATTTTTATTCATTTTAATTCAAATAGTATTATATATATATACATATATTTTTATATATATATATAAATATATATATAATATTTATTATTACTCTTATTTAATTTTTATTATTATTTTTTAAAATAAATTAATTTATATTATATATATTAAACAATTTATTATATATTTTTTTTAATTAATATAAATGTTTTTATTTTTATTGTAAAAAATAATATATAATTATATACATATATATATATATATATATATATATAAAAATTTCTAATTCTAAAAATAATTAAATATTTTATTATTTACATAATATTTTTATCAAAAAATATAAAATAATCAAATATAGTTTTAGTATATATTTCTAGTCTATCGAAAAATTAAATCTTTATAAAATATATCCTAAATATTAAATAAAATAAAATTATTATTACTTCTTTTAAAAAAATATTAATTCTTAAAATAAAACTAAATATATCTTTAATACATATTTTTTAATTTTCGATTTTAAAATTTATAATGAAAGTTCGAAATTTCATAAGATACTATAAATTGATTTAAAGTTAAAAAAATATTATTAAATTAATAAATAAATTTCTATATAAATATATATGAATATATATAATATAATATTATATATATATATATATATATATATTATTATTTATATTTTTTTCATTAATTAATAATAAATTATTTATAAAATATAAAATTATAAATTTAATATTCTTGATATTAGTCATTCCAATTTTTTTAAAGCATTATTATTAATTGTTTTATTCGAAAATTTAATTAATCTATTTTTTATGTCCTAATTTTCATGTTTTATAGATTTTTCATTTCTTTTTTGATAAATTCGGATGTTTATATTAATTATTTAGTTGTTTTTTCTATTTCAATATTATAATTTTCTATATCATATTAAAGTAGAAATTGTAGATTTTGTGATTTCCCTAATTGACTATCTTTAAAATGTTCATAAAATTATTAAATTTAATTTTTATTTTCTTAAATATGAAAAATAAATTAATTTTTATTTTATTTTATTTTTTATATTAATTAATTTAAAAGAAAGTCTTTTTTTCCTTCTAAAATTCTTAATATATTTTTCAATAATTATAAACCTAAATTCATTTCCAAAAACTAAAATTTTAAATATGTCCTAAAATTCCTTATTTTATAAAAAAATTAAAGTTTTTAAAAAAAATACTAAAAAACTTCTTTTATTAAAATAGCTTTATTTCTTTCATATAGACTTCTTTCACAAATGGAAACAATTTCTGTATTTTTTTCTATATTTTCTTATAAATGAATTTTATATTAAAATATTTTATTGAATAATTGCTTCATTTGAATATTTAAAAAGTTCATTTTCATGTTAATATATTATTAAATCCTTATCATTTATAAAACTTTGTTCTAAATAAGATTATTACTTTATTATTAATGTAATAATATATACCTTATATGATTATTATATATATATATCATTGAACTATTTATATATATTTAAATTAATAAAAAAAAAAAAGGACATTATTATTATATGTATAGTTACTTTATGTAATAAAATAGGATTATTAAATATTATTTTAGTCTTATTTTTAAACAATTAATATATGAGCAATATTATCGGTTTATTATGAAATTTCTTCTTTTAATTATTTAAAGGAAATCCTTTCTATTGGATTTTAAAAGAGCATTTTTTTCAAAAAAGTAAAGCTTTCATTTTTTTCAAAAAATAAATTCGAAGTTTATATATTGAAGCTATTTCGGGAGGAATGTATTGAACCTGTTTATTGTGTATATTTTGGAAAAAAAGTTAAAGTAATAATTCATAGTCTTTCCAAAAATCCTTAAATACGACTTTTTCATTGCAAAAAAGTATGTTTTCGTAAATTAAACAGGCATGATATTGTTCTTTTATTTCAAAAAATTAATATAGGCAGAACAAATAAGTTAAAGTGTTTATTTTATGGTATTTTCGTCTTTTTATCTGCTCTAAAGGTATTGCTTTAAATTCATTTAGTATTCTGCAAATATATAATATTTATATTTATTGCATAAAAAATTATCTAATGGTTTCAATATATAAAGATTTGTATTAATTTAGTTTAATTTCAAAAAATATTAGTCACATTCATTTTAAAGATTTATATCTTTTTTACATGATATTTTAAATAGTAAATGCTTTTAATATTAATTTGAAATATTCTTATTGAAAACTTCATAATATTAATTTATATAAAAATAAATATATGACAAATTAATATTTATCTATATATAAAATTAATTATGATATATAAAATATATTAAAATAAATATATATATATATATATATATATATATATATTTATTTATATATATATATACATGATTATTTTTAATATATTATTATAATATATCTAAATTATATATTTTAATATTCTTTGTATAAAAAATTAATTATTTATATTTATATTATAAAAATAAATAAACATAATATCAATTTTTATCTATTATTATTTTTTTATTATTTTATAAATATTATTATTAGTATTTTTAAATTATTATTATTATTTTTATTAATATTATTATTTTTATTATTATTTTTTATTTTTTATATTATTATTATAATTATTATTGTAATTATTTTTATTAGTTTTTTATTATTTTTATATTATTATTATTATTATTATTATTATTATTTTTATTATTATTTTAATTATTTTTATTATCATTAACATATTTAATTTATTTAAAAATTAAAGTATATTCCAATAATTTATTAAATTTATACTTTACATAAATATTTTATTTTATATATATAAATTAATCTAAATTGTATTATATTTGAGTATTTATTAATATAACATTATAAATTATAAAATATTTATATTATTTATAAATATAAATATATTTTTATTTATATAATATTTTAAATATTTATAATTTTAATAAATATATTATAATATCTTTTATCTAGATTATATTTTATTTTTCCTCAAATAATAATTAAAATAAAATTTTTTTATTTTAATAAATTTAATTAAAAAAAAATATTATATATTTAAATATCTTATAATTATTTATATATTTATCCTGTATAATATATACATATATTTTTTTAAATAAAATATACATAAATTAATATATTTAATTATATATTTATATATTAAAATTAAAAAATTATATTTATGAATATATTCAAACATTAATAATATATATTATATTATGTATATTTTTAAAAACATAATAAGGAATATTTTTTATTTTAATTTATATATATTAATTCTTTTAATATTTATACAGTTATTTGTATTATAAAAACATATAAATAATTTCATAATTGTATATTTTAATTTTATTCAATTTCTATTTCTTAATTTATATTTAATTAATTAAATTAAATCTCTAATTAATTTGAATTTATTTTATCGTTTATAATTTTTTCTTATTCACAAAAAATATCATTAATTTATAAATTTTAAATTTAAAATTCTAAAATTTTTTACTTAATAATTTATTAAATTTCTCCGAAAAAATTATAATATTCATTTTTTTATATAATAAAATTTTAATCATTTTTTTAAATGTATTCTGACATACTTTCCATAATTAAATTTTTATAAAAAAAATCATTAAAAAATATACTTTTTTATATCAATTAATTATCTTCAGATAATAGAAAACTAGAATAATCATCTTTTATTATTAAATTACAAATAATTGTTATCCAATTTTCACTTATTTATATATAAACGTCATTATTATAATTAAACTTACAGTATTTATTATATAAAAAAACCATATTTTTTACAAAACTATCATTCTTAGTTAAAAAAACGCCTTCTTAGTAATATGTAACATTCACAAAAACTTGTAAAACATCTCTCAGTAATTCATCATACAAGCAAATTTATATATATTTAATTAAATAATCTAAACAATAAAAGCAATCAATGAAAACACCTTTCCCAAAAGATGAAATTTGAACTAATAAGCTTATAAAAGGATTAACAATATTAATATCATTACAATTTTCTTAACAAATTTGACACAAAAAATTTATGATTGAAATTTTTCTAAATAAAAAAAATCTAGAAAAACTTATTTTTATTAAAACTAATAATATAATCCATATATACATTCCCTTAAAATTTCAGTATTATTTTAATATTGATAAATAAATAAAATAAAATAGTCATAAAAAGACTTGTTTTTTTCATTTTTAGGATAAGGTTTTTTTCTAAATATTTAGTTAATTAAAATTATTATGTCTATTATCGTTTCTTCTGTATATATGTTTCTTTATATTAATAGATTATCTATTTTTTATATTAGATTGTATTCGTTTATTAATAAATCTCTATTTTTTATTGAAGATGAAGTTAAATTTATTAATATATATAGAGTTTAGGATATTATTATTTTTTGTTAATGATAATTTAGATGTTAGTATATTATATTCATTGTTTCTTTTTATATTAAATTTTGGTTTTATTTTAATATTATTTAAGGTAATATATTTTTAATTGTATTGAATATAGTTTACTTTAAATCTATTTCTTATATTTAAAGTATTATAATTAAATATCTATATAAATCTTCTTCTATTATGCATTCTATAGTATTATTATTATTATTTAATTTAAAATTAAAGTTTTATAAAGCTTGTTTTAAGTCATTTATAATTTGTAATGTTTATTCTTAAGATAGATAGCTTTAATTTTAATTGTTTATTAGATTTTAGCATATTTTTGTAATATTTTAAATTTATTATTTTTGCATTGTTTTTTTTTTTAAATTATATAAAAAATTAAATTTTTATTAAAAAAGACAAAAAGCATAAATTATATTTAAAAAATAATTTTTTTTAAAAAAAAAATTATTCAGTTTTGATAAATTTAAGTATTTTTTTTTAGTTTAAAAAAAAAAAATATATGTTTATTCTAAAAAAATAAATAGAATGCTTTTTAATTAATTTAAATTAAAAAAATAAAAAATATATAATTAATTTTTTTTTTACCAAAAAAAAAAAATACTAAAAAAAATTTCGGAAAAAAAAAAAAAAAATGGAAAATAATCAAATAGTAATAAGTGAAGAAATATTAAAAAGTTTCAAAAAAGCAAAAGTTCATAAAGACAATGTAAAATAAAAATATAAAAAATATTATAAAAATCTCTAGAAAGTATATATAACATCAATGGATATATCAAAATGTGGCGAATATTTAATAACATGCGATGGAGAACAAATAATATTATATAATTTACATTCCGGTGAATAATAAAAAAAGCTATATCATAAAGAATCTTAATTAGATTTGGTCCGTTTTACACACAATAGTGATGCTATAATATGTGCTACATAAAAAGACCGTAAAAAATAAATTAAATATATAACAATATATATAAATATTACTTTTTATTATTATTAGATAGTATCATATATTGGTCATTACATGATAATGAAATAGTAAAGAAATTTACAGGACATACAGATGTAATTTTATGTCTAGATTTAAATAATTCCACGGATAAATTTCTAAGTACTTCATAAGATTGTACATTGAGGTTTTGGGATTTGAATTCTATGATACCAGGGGCAGATGCGATTTTAGATTTATCTTAAAAAAAATGTAATCCAGTCGCAGCCTTTGATAATTTGGGGCTTGTTTATGCAATTTCATATACAGAAAGTTTAGGAGGAGCAGATTTTACTAAAATAGCACTCTATGATGTAAAAAAACATGAGGAAGGATCTTTTGCCTTCTGGAATTATGATTGTGCGGAGATTAGAACTATAAAATTTAGTTAATGTGGAAACCTTATATTATGTAGTACTGTGGATAATATTATTATAGTCATAGATTCTTTTGAAGGCACACTAAAATAAAAAATAAATACAGGAGGAGAAGATATAATGGACCCATGCTTTACACCATGTTCATAGTTTTTAATTACAGGTAAATAATAAATTTGAATAAACAAATAAATATAAATATATATATATATATATATATATATATATATATATATATAATTATATATTTAAATAGGCGGAGAAAAGGGAATTATTCATGTGTGGAAAACTTAAACTGGAGAAGAAGTTACGAAATTAAGTGGGCATTTTTTAAAACCTTAGATTTGTAAATTTTCTCCAAGTCATTGTTTACTTATTAGTGCTTGTAAAAATTTGATTTTTTGGCTTCCGGATATAAAATAATGATACTTTCATATATATATTATTTTTTAATTATTTTATATATTTGATAAAATTAATTATATATTTTTTTTTTTATTTAATTTTGATTTTTTGTAAAAAAAAAACTATTAAAAATAAAAAATGTCTGAATAAATTAAATATTAATATACAGAAGATTAAAGGTTTTTGTTATAAGAAGATTTTTAAAAAATAATAATTTAATTTTTTTTTATTTAAACAAAAAAAATAGCTTAGAAATATTAATATAATCAACCAAAGCAAACATAGACTGTTCAAGGGAAAGAAAAGAGTTTAATATATGTAGATCTACAGTATTAGGTAAATTTACTGAACCATCACATTGTATAAATTAAGCATTTAGACTAGTAGATTGTTTTTAAAAGATGTAATAATTTTTTGTTTAAATAAAGTATAAATATATATTTTTGTTAGAAGAAATTTACAAAATGATTAATGTATTAATTCCTTTTAATAAACATTATAATGTGCAAAAATTAATTATTAAAAGAACTTTTTTTTATAATAATCTTGTTCAAATTAATTAAATGATTATATTAAATGTAATTGATAAAATCTTTATATATTTTTATAAATAAATATAGCCTAAACTTATTTTTTATATAATCATAAAATAACATATATTAATTAAATATTATATTATAATATAATTTATTAAAAAAAAAAAAAAAAAAAAAAAAAAAAGAGAAAAAGATAGGATAAATTTATATATATATATTTATTTTATTACTTTTATCAAATATTTCTTTTTTTATATATATAATTATAATTAACAAAAAACAAAAAAATATTATTTAAATATATATATATTTAACAAAATTAAATATGGACTATTAAATATAAGAACTTTAATAAATATTCGAAAACATAAAAAATTCTAAAGTATAAGAAGAAGAGAAACTTGAAAAAAACATAATTTCTTTAAGAAAAATAACTTCTAATGTCGACATAAATCTCACATAAATATTAGACTGTATAATTGACTCTAAAATATGTGAATATTTTCTCGAAATGCTTAAAATCCATAAAAAATCTTAAATAATATTTAATATATTATGGATATTAACTAATATAGGCTCCGGAAATAACTATTAAACCGATTATTTAATAAAAATAAATTCTTTATCTTAAATAATAAGCTTTTTAGAACATCCAGAAGAAAACATATTTTGCTAATCTTTATGGACTTTGGCAAATATAATAGGAAATTCTCATAAAAATCGTGATTTATTAATATAGGAATATAATATAGTTTAAAAATTAGAAAATTTATTTTTAAAAAATCTATAAAAAGAAACAATATCAATATGTATTTTTACTATGTAAAATTTATGTAGATATAAGCCTCATCCAGAATATGAAAAAGTTAAAGTTTTTATGAATTATTTTATTAAATATTCTTTATAATTTTAATAAGCAAAAGACATTTTAGTAGACTGTGCTTGTGGAATTAGTTACTTATTAGAATAAGAATCCTGTTGTATTGATTTTATATAAGGTTAGGGATATATTTTTATAGATTTAATGTTAAATAATTTAAATGCAGATTATGATGATGGTATTATTAACCCGTTTATTAAAATCTTAGGTAGTATAGCAGAATGTAATGATCCATTGTGTGTAGATTTTATTATATAGAGTAAAAGCTTGGATTTCTTAATTAAATATGTCAAATAGTGTTAAAATGATACCAAAATTAAAGATATACTATGGACTTTTTCTAATTTGGCGGCTGGAAATGAATAATAGGCAATGACTTTGGTAAAAAATAATGCTTTTTGGGATATAATGCTCTTTTTTTATGATAAATATTCTATTATATAAAATAATCTAAAAAATATCAAAGAATGGGCTTATATTATAGGAAATTTATTAACTCATAAAAGCGTTTTCAATTTTTTTTTAGAAGAATAAAATTCTATTATTGAAAAAAATTGTAAACTGGTATTTTTAAAAAATGCAAGTCTATAAAACATTGTTTTTGGAGGAATTGAATATTTTTTTAAATATTCAAAAGATATAGAAAATTCTAGCATTTTATATCATAAAATAAGTAATATAGCAGATATCTTAGAAAAATTTGACCCATAATAAAATAAGGATATTGTATATAATATTTGTAGTTTAGCTAATTAAATGAAAAATGAATTAAATGCTAGTTAAATTGATATAAATTAATAGAGTGCAGCCCCGGGTAAATATTAAGAAGATATTATGGAGGAATACGAATATTAAAAATATAATGCGGCACCTATTCCTTTTAAGGAAATTTGATTAATTATTTTATAAATTATAATTAATATTATTATTATTATTATTATTATTATTATTATTATTATTATTATTATAAATAATTTTAATAATATTTCTATTATTCTAGAATATTTATTTTTTATAATTATAATAATTTAAATATATATTAATATTTCTTATATATATATAGTCATTTATAAATATTATTTATATTGTATAAAAATAAATAAATAAAATATTATATATAAATTTATATATACAATTTAAATATTATTATTTTATTATATTTTGATAACATTATAATATTTAATACCATTTTTTTCTAAAAACAATATATTCTGATCCGATATTATTATATTTATAATATTAATTAAAGAAATTATTATAATATTGATTTGAAAATATATAAATTTTATTTATTTAATATAAAAAAAAATAATAATATATATTTATTTATTTTATTATTTTATTCAATTATATCTAACATTAATTTAAGTTCCATTTTTTCTTTTGCTTCTTTTTTTTTTAGCTTGTTTTCTTGTTTTGTTTAACATTTCGTAAATATCTTCATTATTTTATCCATTTATTGTATATAAATATTATGGTAAAACAATATTATGTGCAAATTTATTTATAAATAAATTATCATATATTTTATTGTCTAAAATTTTTTAATTTTAATTCAATATACGAGGATCATTATATAATTATACTTTATGTGGTTCTTTTTTTATTTTAATTTTAGAAAATTTATTAATATTATTTAAAACGTTAATAGTTTATCTAATCATTTTTTCTCTTATTTATTAATAAAAGTAAATTATTTTTTATTTATTTATTTACAAATAAAAAATTAATATAAAAGATATATTTTTTTTTATTTTTTCTTTAGAAAAAAAGTTGATTATATAATATATTTTCTCGAAATTTTATAATATAAAAAATAAATAAAATCTTTTAATTAAATAAAAATAAAGTTTTTATTAAATAAAAATAAAATACTTAATATATATTTTCTCCAACAAAAAATATGTATTTATATAACTAAAAATTTTTAATAATAAAATATTTTTTTGTTTATTTTTATATATAAAAAAAAAGTCATTTAAAAAATATATTTAAGTATATTTTCATTAAAAATGCTTTTGTATTTTTTATAACCATTAAACATAAAGTTTTTTATTTTTTTCGAAAGAATAATTATCTATAAATTATGCGGTTTAAGAAGTAATACCATTTTATTTCAAATAATCAATAATTCCAATTTATATTCTCTATATTTATATTTAAATATATATATATATATATAATTATATATATTTATATATTTATATATTTATATATTTATATATTTAATCAGATTTTTACTTAATCTAAAGTTGAAAATTTAGGTCCATTATATGAATTAAGATATCTTTCTATTTTATTTTAAGTTTTATTTTTCTCAATATCATCTACATTATAAACAGCATTAATTTATATCTATTATATCATATGTTTTAATTTATTAATTAATATTTCTTTATATATATAATTACCTCTGGATAAAAAGAGGTACAATCAAAAGATATTATTTCTCCTTTTTAATTAGTTACATAAACTGTAAAGTCAGATTATTATTTTTTTGCTTCTTCATCTGATGATGAATATTCATTTTCTTCCGGGTTTCTTGCTTAAAATACAATTTAAACTTTATTACTTCCGTTAGTTTTGTGTAATTCAACATAATAAGATTTTTCATTTTCATTTATAGTGAATTAATTTTATTATAAGAATTCCTTAAAATATAATTTATGTTTTTTTAAAATAATATATAAAATACTTAAAATGTTTAATCTTATTAAGGATTATTAGGTTATGTTTCAAATTTAATTTATTCTTCTAATGCTATTTAAAGATTTTCTATTAGAATAATATTTTAATTTTTAAAAATATTTTATAATATACGTTTGCTTTCAAATTATAAAGAGGATTAATAAAAAACACAATTTTATTATGAAAATTTCAATTTTTTAAATACTTATTAATTTAAAACTTATACAGATATAATAGATCTACCGAATTTAGAAATCATTATTTTTATTTTATATATATTATATTTTTTAATATTTTTATACTATTATATATATCTTAATTAACTTTTTTTATTATTTATTTTATATCTAAAATGTATTAATAAAAATTTAAAAATATAATATTTTTAATATTAAAAAAAAGTTTGTGAATTTAAGTTAATATATAAAGTTTAGAATTATATATAAATATATTTTTTATTTTTTTTTAAATATAAAATTAAAATAATAACAAGAATAAAATATTTATAATATAAAATTCAATTAAAGTAATGAAAATTTTTAAATAGATATAATATATTTGTATATATATATATATATATATATATATATATATTTTTATATTATTATATTATATTATTTTATTATTATAAATATTATTATATTTATATTTTAATTTTATTTATTCTATTTATATCTTAATCTAAATATATATATATAATAAAAAAACAATATCTAAATTAAAAAAATGATGAATAAATCCACACATAATATCGAATAACAAGGAGAAAATTACTATTTAATTCCCAAAACATCTCATACTAACACTGTTATTTTTCTTCACGGTTTAGGTGATTGTGGATAAAGTTACATTGATTTTTTCCAAGAATCTGATATAGTTTCTGCAACAACCAAAGTAGTATTAATTACAGCTCCAGTTAGGCCTGTAACAATAAATTTTGGTATGTAACTTAATTCATGGTTTGATTTCAAAAATTTTGACGTAAACGAGCAAAACTTTTAGCAAGCAATAGGTATTGATGAAATGATATAATCATCATAATAATTAATCTAAATTCTAAATTAAGAAGTTAATATATTACAAGGATAATCATAAAAAGTCTTCATTGGAGGATTTAGTCAAGGTGCTTGCATGAGTCTTAAAGTTGGGCTTGAATTTGATTAAAAACTAGGTGGAATTTTAGCTTTTTCTGGATTTTTATTCCCTGTTTATAATGAACATGAGAATAATAAAAATACACCTATTCTTATTTCTCATGGAACTTAAGACCCACTTTTAGCTTGGGCTAAATGTGAAATTTCCTATAACAAACTTAAATAAAGTAGTCATCCTTTATAGTTTGAAATTATATAAGATCTTTAACATTCTTTTAATATGAAAAGCTATACTGCTTTTAGAAATTTCTTTAATAAATATAAATGAACAGATATGTTTTTTTTTTAAAAAAAAATTATTATCTTTTTTTTTATATTATATATTAAATAAATTAGAAAAAAAAAAAAAAAAAATTGAAATATTAAAATTTTTATGGATTACAAAAATAATATCAAAAAAAAAAAATATTAAATTATTAAAATAATATATATTTATATATAAATTTTTATATATAATAAATTAAAATAAATATTAATAATTTATTATTATTATTAATATAAATTTATTTTTTTAAAAAAAGCATATATACATGTATATTATGTATCTTCTTATAAATTTAATTTAAACAAATGCAAGTATTATATAAAAAAATAAAAAAGAATTTAATTAATTTAAATTAAATATTTATATTAAATTATATGATCTATTTATTATTAATATTTATTTGTGTTTTTTTTTTAATATTGAAAAATAAAAAACAAATATCAAAAAACTGAAAAAAATAAATATTAAAAACTTTAACAAAAAATAAATTTAATCATAATTGTTTTTCAGAAATAATATCTTCTTAAAATTAATTAAATATTATTCTTATTTCTCCTTCCAAATCCTTTTTTTTCTACAAATTATCTATAAAAATAGCTTCATCAACCTCATTACTTAAAACTAATCCAATTTAAGGTTTATTAGTAATCCCAATTTATTTATAGGCTTAAGGTATTAATCTTAAATCAACTTACATAAAATTAATACATCTATGCTCTTTGAAATTTTCATTAGCAATTTTAATAATCTATTCTTGGATTTTTATGCAATCTTTGGCACATTGAGAATCATAAAGAAGAAATACATAATTATCGTTAAAAAAAATAAAATTTTTTAAGTTTTATGAGTCTTTAATAATTGAATTAGAGTATACTCTATCAGTTGTATTTTCAGCCAAGATTTTTTATTATTATTGATATTTATCTAAATCTTATATAGTAAAAATTGTTATTATTAAAATTTTAAAATAATTATAATTTTTAACATTTTCATTAAATGTTTTTAATTAGATAAATAAAGAAAAAAATTTTATAAATATATAAATAAAAGAAAAATTTATAAAAAAACATATATATAAATATATATAAATATATATATATATATATATATATATATATATATATATATATATATTGTATTTATATAAATTATTCATTTATTTTCTTATAAAACTTTTTATAATTCATCATTTAAAATTTTAGAAATTAACAAATAAAATCCTGGATCATTTTTAAATTCTATATTATATGAAAAGCTTACCATAATTTTATTTTTTTACCTTTAATGTTATTGTTTGTTAGTTTTTTTTTTTCAATATATAATAAATAATACTTAATGATCTGCAAATACTTTATATATGATTATCATCTTACCTACCTTCATCATCTTTAATACATGTTGCTGTAGGTAAATGATCCTTTATTTAATTAATAAATGCTAATAATTATATAGTTTACATATTTTGTTTATAATGCTATATTTATATTTGTTATTTTCATCTGTCTATCGCATAATATTATAATAACTTATCCTTCTAATAAAATAAAATGAACTAAAGCATCTATATTTTCAATTTATAAATATTTCGTGATACTTTTAACCATTTATAATATATATTTTTATAAAAATTAAATTATATGTATATATTAATGAATGAATATTTTTAATTTTTAATAATAATTTTGTATAAAAAAATTAAAATTAGTTTTTTATACTCTTAATTATTAATACCTATAAAAAAAAAAAATTATATTACAATAAATAAATATAAATATAAAATAAAATATATTTATATATATCTATATATAAATTTAATATAAATAATATAAAAATATGGATTAAAAAATAGTATACATATAATTACAATAATTTTAAATAAGAGAAAAAAATATAAATATTTGTTCCTTCTATTATTTTTTGATATTATTTTAATATTTTCATTATCTAAAATAATTTTATTTTTAATATCAGATTTTATTTAAAATTAAGAGAAACTAATAAACTAAATGAGAGATTTTTTATGTTTATTTAAGTTATTATTGAAGCCAATTTCAATAAAATTATAAAATATATAAGAATTTATAATTTTATATATCTATAATATTTCATTAATATATTTTTAAATTATATATTTTATTTTAATACATAAAATTGAATGTACTTTTAGGAAATAAAATTACAATAAAGTAAATTTACAAAATTCTATTATTTATTATAAATATATTTTGTGTAAAAAATAATAAAAAAATTAGAATTTTTTAGAAAGGATAAATTACAAAATATTATTATTATATAATAAATATATAAATAAATCTTTTAATTTTTATTTAATATGTTTCTTTTATTAATAATATATAATTAAATTAAATAATAATTTATTAATTAAAATAAATATATAAACAAAAAAAATGTAATAAATATTAAATTTAAATATATAATATTTAAATAATACATAAGGAATATATAAAAATATAAAATATATCTACATTTTTAAATAATTAAAAATTATAATCAAAAATAATAAAAATAAAATAAAAATATTCTATAATATATAATAAAAAAATTATAAAAAATAGTTTTAATATTTATAGATAAGATAATATAAATATATATAAATATATATATATATATAATATTTTATATAGTATATATATATATATATATATATTTTTAATTTAGTTATGTTTAATTATTTATATAATTTTTAAATATTTTTTATCAAAAACATATTACATTTTATATAAATATTTATTTTTTATTTTAATTTTATATTTTATTAAAAATTTATTTTAAATTATAATAAAATCCCATAAAATATAAGTTTTAATAAATAACTAAAATATTTAATTAATATTAAAAAAATTAATAAATAACCTTTTTATAAAAGAAATATATTTATTATATATATATTTATATACTTTTTTTTAAATTATTATTATTCAATGTATTTAAATCAGAATATTTTCTAAATGTTTAATTTTATCACATTTCATTTAAAGTATTTAATTAAATTCAGAAATTGTTTCACAAAGTTTATTATTTTCAAGTTTACAAAGTTTAAGATTTTCTTCGTATTCCATTTGTTTTTATTTTTCTTTTAATTTATCATTATTAATGATCTTTTGTTATTATTTTTAATTATTTTCAATTAAATACTATATTTATAAATATACATATATATACATATATTTATTATTAATTATTACTTTCAACTATTATTTAAGATCTTATATTTAATTTTCATATTAAATACATTTATTTTTATGTTTTTATTCATTTTCTAAAAATTATTAACTTAATAGTGATAAATTATTTTCATTATATTCACATTCTATTTATATTAAAATAATTAAAAATTATACTTATATAATATTTTACTTATTTTAGTTTATAATTCTTGAATAATTTTCTTTTATTAATTGATTTCCTTTAAAATTTCTTTATTTTCTAATTCTAAATTTTACAAATATTTCAACTTTTTCTCTGCCTGAATTTTTTCTTATTTAGCCTTATATAATTCACTATTAGAATTTTATATTTTATACTTTAGTTCATTTATATCATTCAATAAATCCTTTTAATATTTTTTCTATTAATTTATTTCAATTTTTTATTCTTATATTTATCTCTCAAACTTCTAATAGTCATCTTTTATTTATATACTAATTGAGTTCGACTTTTCTCTTGATTTTTAACTACTTGAAGATAAAGTCTTTGGCTTTGAAGATAAAGAATGAATAGAAATAACATCTGAATTAGTCCTCTTACGTAAATATTAATGAGAATTTTAAATAGGAATATACTATTACATTTTAATATAATGTTATTATTATTAAGTTTACATATTTTTAAAATTTTTTTAATAATAATATTTTTTTTTAATTTTTATTTTTTTATAATAAACAGATATTTATATAAAAAAAAATTCATAATATTAATAAGAAATTTCATAAAAAAATGTATATAAGCAAAAATAAATATATGAAAATATATTTAATATATATATATATATATATATATATATATATATTTTATATTTATTTATATTATATTTTTTCATATTAATTTTTATTATTTTTCATTTATTTAATGAAAGTTCTCTTTATTTGAGTCATTATTATTACTAAAACTATCTATATATTGACTAAAAGCCTTTTAGAAATTAATATTTTTATTAACTTAATAATTTTCCTCATTTTATTCATCAAAAAAATCTTTTTAAAACAGTCCTTTCAATTATTCATTTGGGAAAAACATAGAAAAGCTTGAACTAGAATTTGAAGATGAATTTTCTATGTTTATTTTATTTTATTTTATATTTAAAAACATACCTTCGTTTGCTTAATTTAAGGATGATGTATCATCTTCCAATTTAATTTTTTATTTTTCAAATGTATAATTAAATTATTAATCTGAAAAAGGTTTTTATAAAGGTGGAGGTGATTAAACGTATATTTTTACTTCTGGAAAAGTATTAAAAGAGGGTAATTTTTTTAATTTAGGTATATTTTTTTCATTTCTCTATCATGATTTATATTTTCTTTTATTTTAGATTAAATATTTTTGAGATAATAAGGTTATATTTGATTTTTTTTGATTTTTTATTCATTTTTTCGTTTCTAAGTACTTATTTATTCCCTTATTTATTAACTTTTAGTATTTGAATATTTATATGAGTGCTTTTTTTGGATTTTATCTGTTTCTAAAGCAGACTCTGTTTTAATATTTATACTTTTGGATTCAAATTTATTTTATAATTGACTTAATTATTGTTTTATTTATGAAATTTCAGAAGAAAAATTTAGTTAAGAATTTTAACTTTTTTTTTAAATTATTTAATCTTTATATAAAAAAAAACATTTGTATTAAATTATATTTTTATTTTTTTAAAAAAAACGTGATATTTCTAATATTTATTCTATTGGTAATTCATTTGTATTTAATTAAAATTATAATGCTCTTATGCCTATTATTTATAGTCTTTTTTTTATTTCTTAATGATATTCGATTGGATATTGGGATAAATTTTGATTTATGTACACTTGATATGGATCATATTATTATTGTTATTATTATTATTGGAAATTCATTTTATTTTTTGAATTAATTCAAAATAAAATAAAAAAATTTAGTTTAATTTTTATAATATAATTAATTATAAATTTTAATATATATTGGTTTTTATAAGTAAATATAATTATATATATATATAAAATTTTATATTAAATTTTTAATATTAAAGTATTTTTATTATTATTAATTTTAATAAAATAGTTTATTATAAAAACTTAAATAATTTATTATATAATAATTTAAATTATTTAAAATTAATAAATTTATAAGAAAAAATTTAAGTTTAATATTTTTAAATAAATGTCATATGTTATATTTATTATAAGTTTATATTAAATATATATATTTATAAAAAAATCTAAATATAAATAAAAAAAAATATAAAGATATATATTATATATATAATATATAATATAAATATAAATATAAATATAAATATAAATATTAATAAATATATTTATATCATATAAATACATATACATTTATTTTATATATTTTTATTTTTAAATATTTTTTTTTTTATTTATTTGTTTTCAAATATTTTTTAATTTATTAATAATAATTTAAATTTTCATTATATAATTAATTTTTTAAAAAATATTTATATAACTTAACCCTTATATTTTATTTACCCATTAAATTTTAAAAAATATAAATATATATATTTTTTTAAAGTATATAATTTTAAAAAAATATATATATTTTTAAAGTATTCATATTAAATAAAATTAAAAAAAATAATATTATTTATATTATTTTTGTAAATATATATAATTCAAGTCTAATAATTTTTCAATTATTAAAATAAAAAATAAAGATAAAAATATATTTAAAATAAAATAAAATTTAAATAAAATAAAATTATAAATAAAATCTAAATAAATTAAATAACTCCTTTTACTATTTTAAATTAAAATAAAAAGAGAAAAAAATAAAATAAAAAAGATTTTATTTAAAAAAAAAATAAAAGAAATATTAAAAATAAAAAAATGGCTCTGTCTTTAAAACTCGATTCATTTACATCCTTAGGAAATTTCCGTAAAAACGTATTATCCGACGACTATACTCATTCAGTTTTCGAAACTTATAAATTGAAAGGATAATCCCAAAACGGTACAAAAGTAGAATACAAATTAAAATTAAAGACAAGCAAAATAGACGACTTAGTAAAAGCTAAATTAGAAGATGAAGGAAAACTTCAATTTAAATTAAACAATTACATATTAGAAATAGCTTCTAGAAGAAATAATGACATAAAACTACACATAGATTTAGGCGAAAGATAAATAAATGGAAAAAAAATTAACTTTTTTGGAAATATGAAAACTTAAACATCTTTAGATAATTTCCGTTTTCGTTTCGGTTCTAATTATTTTGGAGAAAATAAAGAAAATAATTCCAGAATCGAATATATTTCAGATAATCAATCTTTCAGTTTTACTTAAAGAAATCTTTTTAGAACTAAAAATAATGTCTTAGCTTGGGTTTTGAACTTTAATTCTAAAGCCTAGTCTTATTTGAATTCATTTGACTCTATTTTAGGTTATGAAAGTAAAAAAGTAGACCTTTATCTATAACATAATACCAAATGCTTATGTCTAGGAAAACTTACATTGACCGGAACTTATAATTTAAATGATAAAACAGCATTCTCAGCTGAACTTGTGAAACATTAAAAAGACTAAAACGTTACTGTAGGCTTTAAACACACAGTTAATAAGAATTTGACTGTTAGAGCTAAGTTTGATTCATTGCTTAGAGTATATTTTGCAGGAAAATACAATTGGAATCAAGTTTCAGCCTGTTCTTCGGTCTAGTTAGGCTTCGGATAAAATGATAAAACTTTCAATATGGATAAATTCCCTCCTTTACCTTTAGGATTTAAATTTGATGTTAAAATTTGATTAGATTTTATTTAATTTTTTAAAGAAAATAATATATATATATATATATATATATATATATATATATATATTATATATATATATATATTTATATATATATATATATTATTAATATTAATAATAGTAGTAAATATTTTTTTTTTAAAAATAAAAAAAAATAAAAATAATGAAAAATTAAAATTTTCTTTGTTTATTGGAAAAAATTAAATAGGAATATTAAAAAATTAAAGAAAAATAAAATTCTTAGGAAAAAAAAGAGGAAAATATTCAAGATTTAATACTTTAATTTAAATAATAATTAAATTCTTATAATAATATTGATTAAAATATTGCTTTTTAAGAAGATATTGTTCTTAATCATTAAATATAATAAGCCTAATATCATATATAAGACCTATAAAAGTAAATTAATCTTCTGAAAACTTAATTTTATTCGAAATATTAACAATAAAATTAATAATAATAGTATTATTTATAGCTAAATTCATACTAAAAAAAAGACAAATTTAAGTCTTAATTGTTAATTCTATAATCTTTATAAAATAATTTGACACTTGAAAATTAAAATAAAAATAACCTGAAAAACAATATATAAATTAAAAGATTTTCTAAAAATACAAAAATTACAATAAATGATATAAAAATAAAATAATAAAATATTTATTTGAAATTATGAAATTAAAAGTAATAATTTTTTTTTTATTAAAATATAGGATTTTTTAAAAAAATAATAATATAAAAAAAATGATATTTTTTTATATTTTAAAAAAGTAGAAATAAATTTATTATTTAAATATTAAAATAAAAATATATAAATGATGATAAAAATATAAATAAATAAAAAGTTAAGAATATATAGAGATAAAAAAAAGTAAAAAGTTGTAATAAATATATAATAAAAAATAGAACTAAATATATATATATATTTATATATATATATATATATATATATATATATATATATATAAATAAGTACATATATTTATATTTATTTTCTTCTTTAATTTTTTTTATTATTTATGTATATAACTACTTTTAATATTACTTACTTTTATTTTAAAATTTTTTCAATTCCAAAATTTAATTAATATTAACGAAAAATAATATTTTATTATTTCTATTTTATTTTAATAAAAAAAATAAAAATTATTACTTATAAAATAATAAAATGGGCAATTAATTAAAAACTTCATCCTAATAAGTATTTAATGATATAACAATTATTTCTTAAAATAAATTTAATGACTCTATTTTATATACGTAAAAATTAAATTAAAAAATACCTTTTAAATAAATTATAGTAAAAATTCTACTATTCAATTAAAAATGCAATAAATTTAATTTGATGAAAATAACAAATCTTTAAATTTAGTGTAAATATATATAATATTTTATTCATTTATATATAAATTTATATATTTATTAGGTTTAATACATAATTATCCTTAAAATAATTTATGAAAATCCAAGAAATCTTAATAAAACCTAACAAAATTGACTCATTTACATTTCATGTCCCAATAAATATTGGTTCTAAAGCTTTAAGTGATAAAGATAAATTCATAAGTTCCTAAATAGAAATTTTATTTGATATATTATCAACTCATTATACATAAATCCACCATTTAAGTTTACATTTTCCTTCTTAAAGTGAGAATAACTAAGACATAACGAATTAAACTATACAATAACTAATAAAAATGCTATAAAAGATGTAAAATTTATAATATTTAGACCTAAATCTATTCTAATGGGGTTACTATAATAAAAACTTATCTTCAGATGAGATAAAAAACCTATTTTTGACACTAAAAAAAATGAATTTAAAATCTTTAAAAATAGACTTAGGAAGATGGGGTTGTGAGAAATTCGGAAACTTAAAAATTTACAAAGACGACATTTTTTGCGATTTTTGTGACTGTTTAAAAAGCCTGTAAAATTTGGAAATTCTTTAAATTAATTTTAGGTCTTGGGGTTATGAAAATAGCTATATAACAGATATTTCAGTCCAAAAAATATTCGAGGGAATTTCCCAATTGACAAAATTAAAATAACTGGCTGTAAATTTAACTAAATGGGGATATTTAAATGATAATATAGGGAATAATTCGTTCATAAACTTCGAATAAAATTCATAAAATTGGAAATAATTAGAAACTTTCTTCCTTGATATTAATTCTTGGATTATTTTTAAATAATTTTCATATATTAAAAACGGATTATTATCATTACCTATGTTAAAAAATTGTAAAATTGAATCTATTGATGTATTTATTATATATATATATATATATATATATATATATATATATATATATATATATAAATTTATATAATATA